TAACTTAAGTTACAAAGTAACCTCCATAAATCCTGTAAAGTAAAATTTACCTAAGCCTAAGAGTAATTTAGGTAATCTTTCACACACAAAAAAAAATTACTTGACTGAGAAAACCTATTTATATCCCCACTACAAATAAATTTGGGAAATATTTACAAACCTCATTTTTGAAGTACCCTGAGGCATGCTAGTAGAAGCAAGAGCACTGATCCCAAAGCATTTCTACATCCCTACTCAGCAACACATGCATTTAAATTTTAATTACAAATTCGACTGAAGAATAACCTGTCAGCCACTAATTTGCCAGTTAACATACTTTTAGTTTTTATTTCCCATCTTTCTGAACTTTCTCTGCACAATTCACTAAATCAAACCTCAGACAGCTTCTCATCTGCATTCACCAAGAGCAGCATTGAGTAGTTCAGCTTTCTGGAACAGGTGGGTCAGGAGAAGGAAACAGTTTGGTTGTTTTCAGTTCACTAATAATTTGTATTTCCTTTATTCATGAATAGTACAAAATACATATCTTTAAAACATAACATGAGAGAAACAACACAATTCCACATCAATAATTTAATGCAGAGAAGACATTACAACAATTTTTCTTGTAAATAAAAGTATTTCATAATCTGGGTGCACCCATTACGACTAGAGCTTCATACATAAAGGTTTGAAATGCCGCTTACTTTTTACCACTGCCTGCATGGGCTACTATGCAGTATTTCATGAGTTCGCAAATTATCAGGTCTTGAAAACTTCCTACCACAAACACTACACGACAGACGATGACGAGCTGGTCCACATTCAAATCTGGTGTGCCGGTTCAGTTTTGAGCGGGTCTTGTACAACTTGCCGCACGTGTGGCAGATGTGGGGGCCCATGTAGACTGGAGGCCACCCCACCAGCTGAGCCAATAGGCCTGCAACATATGCACCAATCCCATCAGATACAATTAATCCATGAGTAGCCTCCTCCCATGCACCCCATGCTTTTAGTTAGAAGCTGCAAGCGTAGCCCCCCCTCCCCAACATGCACAAATCGCATTCTGCCCTGACTTCAGTTATATCACCAGCCAAATGAACAATTAATTAAATCAGTCTTGAGTGAAGATTGGAAAAATTAGTTTAGATCTTTGACTAGCAACTAATTCACTACCAGAGGGCATGAAATTCCTTTGCAAAAGTAATGTGCAACTGGTCAGGATGATCTGATCCTTTCATGCACTGAAAGTACTACAAAAAAGAAACGCAGCGCTGATACGTACACATGCTGCAAGTGTGGTGGTTGACCCAGGCTGGACCGGAAGTGCTGCATCACTAGGTGCCGGTGCAGAGAATCAGGTCTGGAGAATCGCTGCCCGCATACTGAGCATTCTAGCCGCTTTCGTGCTTGCCCACACTCGTACTGAATGTGCCGGCGCAGCAGCGTCCTCAGCTTGTAGGAGCGGCCACATCGTGGGCAAACATGCCCACTGCATTCTCCGGTGACTGCTGGAAACACCTGGGCTGCAGAAAGGGATTTAGACAGCACGCCTTCAGGACATGCTGATGCAGGTCGGTCATTGTGGTGCCTGGATTACACCACACAATCACAATTCCCAGCACTGTTCCATCATCTTCATCTGGTCTTGCAGCACACACTTCAGAGTCTTCGTGGCAATGCAGCCACAGTGCACACATCTTATAGCTAGCAGGAAGAATGTTGTCAAGGTCACAGACTGCTAAGTCTGTGAATAGGAGTACTAAGGAAAGGAAGAGGGTGGCAAGTGGGGCGCGCTTGGAGCAGGCCATTGGCCTTTCTAAACTAGGCTATTGGAATGATACCATACCAAGATTACCAATACCATCCTTACCAGCAAATTAGTCCTGACAGGAACTCTTCAAAACTTATGCTGAAATCTTGTTAAAACTATTTGCAAAGATATCCGAGTGTAATTGCTTTTTTTTAAAAAAAAACAAAAATATATAAAAAGATCTATTTCAAATAAATGGCAGCCACGCAATCAACAATACATTCATCAGTGGGAACTCCCACCATAAATACATTAACAATCACTTAGATCACAAAGCAGCAGGGCTGCATCACTTTGTAAAGATCCTTTAATTTATGAGAGCACATCAGTCAACACAATCACATTAGAAATTGTCAATCTCAACTTGAAGCACAAACATTTAAAATTATTTTAAAGAGAAGCTAATGCTGATGCAGAACCTCCTTGCGGAGGGCTGATAGGTGACACTGGGGACAGCTGGGCCGCCAAGCAGGCGGCCCACAATCTTGCAGATGCCGGGCCAGCCCGCTACGGTACTTGTACTTTCTGCCACAGTGAGGGCAGATGTTACCTGGGTACGCCAAAGGTGTTGCGGCACCAGGGCCAGCTGAAAAACAGCACCAGTGCATTGGAAATCGGTCTATTGCACTTTTAGCGTGAAGTGCATTAATATGTGCGCGTATCGTAAAATCATCGAAGTGCATTAACGAGATGTAGTGCAAAATGTTGCACCAACACCTGCATGTATAAACTTATACAAATATTAAAGATTATAGCATAAAAGCAGCATTAAAGTGAGTCATCACTATATTCGGAACATCGGGTAAAAATCAAGCCAACGTGAGTACAGATGCTTCATTTCTAGATAAGAATGGTTTTTGAACCACTGCAGTATAATATGACATTACAGATAAAATCACATGAGAAACAGCACATCAACAGGATAAATGGCATTTATCTCTAGACAAATGCAATAACATGACCCAACAATACCTCTACTACATACAATATTACAAATTGCCTTTACAGCCAGAATTTAACAGAGCACTGACCAAATCACTAGCAATTTCAGTCTTGAAAACAAGATGACCAGCATTTCTCTGATGTGCACGCAACACATCAGAACGACTGAATCGCTTTAAACAAACTTCGCACGCAAACTGCTTTTCTACACCACACTCATAGCGCATGTGTCTATCCAAGGTGTAGGTAACGGAATACTTGCGGTCGCACCGCGGGCAACTCAATGATCTGGCACTAGTGCTTGTGGTGGGGGCCAGGGCAAGAGGCGCAGGTAAGAGCTCTGTTCGGGGAGCAAAGGTGCAGAAGCTTGGCGCTGCTCCACAGAACGGAGGGGGCCACGCCTCTGCAAACAACAAATAACCAGCGTCAACTATGAGCTCCCGCACCATGGAATGCTCACAGTACCAACACTTCACATTCACATGGGAATCCCCACTGAACTGAAGCCTGGCATGCAAGCTCATAATTCAACATTCACATTTCATACTTTCAAAATCTCTCCTCAATTTTTCACAAGACAAAAGATCTTTATAACAGTGAAAATATCAGAACATCTCAGAAATTTAAAAAAATAAAAAACGTTAAACCGAGAATGCTTTAGTCGGAATGTTCCACGAACAAAAAAGAGTATTCCTGTGGGTAAATACAAGCACAAATCATACATCCATTAACAAAAATCAGCGTTTTAAGAAAAGAAAAAAGTATTGAAAAAAATCGCAGCGTTAGCAAAGGAACAATACTTTACCCTACATAACAGAGATCCTCTTCTTTATCTTCAAACTCGATTCAAGAAGTTTTCTTCTGAACTTCATTATTTCGCAAATTTGTAATCGCAACAAGAAATCAAAAAACGAAGTTCGATATTTGTTCAATTTTTTCCACGAATACTTACATTTACATTAGACCACCAAACGGTGTCATTATATGCTTCAAAGTAAATCTTCAAGACTTCACAAAAGGAACAACTAAGATCTTCAGTGCACCAAGGTGACCAATAATTCATAAGCTACGCATATGACTTATCAGCACAGGCGTTCCTCTTCAAACCGGCCAGCATCCACACAATACAAGACACTAACAATGAACAGCATACATGGGCACAACCAAAAACAATTACGTTACAATAAGGATAAGAAGGGTGGCTCACAACGGTGCACAGCCCTGGCTGCCTACCTGCTCCTATGTGCCCAGGCCGTGCACCCCACCCCATTGTCCAACAGCATGCTGGTCAATAACTTAGGCTTACTGTTAATGTACATATTTACACCCTACACTGCAATTACACCATCCGGACCAACCCTTGACACCATTAGCAATATTATTCAAGAAGGAGATTTAGTAAGGATTTAAAAGTGATAGAAGCAAATAGAAGCCATCAGCTTGATGATGGCAACACAAACAATATTTTCCTTGGCCAACCGCCCTCAACACTTTTGACATGAAAGCAGCATGCTTCATTTCATCAAGACAGGTCAGAGGGGCAGGAGGAGTGAAAGGCCAATTTTCAAATCACAAAAATTTCAAGAAACTTGTGCGCAATAGCAATGGAGAACTGCTTCCCATCTTCTGATTAACCCAAAGCAAACAATTTACCCTACAGAAAAAAGGAAGCATTTCTCAAATACACTTCAAATAATCACACAATAGCAGAGGACATGGTGCTGAACCAAAATCTAAATATTAAAGAAAATTGTTAAAAATCAACAATTCAATCTACTTTTTACACTGTTGCTGAATAACTTTATATAGAATCTAAAATACCTACACAAAGTAGTTTGCTGCAATGCTGGACCACAGCCATTTTGTCCTACCCTAGAACCAATAGAATTCCTCCCACAGTAATGGAGGTCAATACATGCTGCAAGAAGTGGGGGAGAGTAACTTGTATTGATCCAGGGCTCTCTGAACCATATTCACAAAATGGCCGCCATTCTGTCACCCACCCATTACTAAGTTTTAGAAATGCATTTCAATAACCTCAAAATATTTTAAAAACAAAATTGAGAGCCCTGATACCATGTCTTCTGCTAAATAATAAGGGGGGCAGCCTCTGCCGGACAGTTTAGCAGAACAAGTGCCATATTACTTTACTATATGCAAGACTACTGCAATGGCTGACACCCCCCTCCCCACCCATGGTACGTGCCCCACAATGACTGCCAGCAGAGTGCAACCCCCTGCAAATCAACTTTTAAGCCACCCTTACCTTGTGAATCTCGATGAGCACCTACAGCCTCCTGTGCAGCCATGAACACTTCATCCGTTGTCCGTTCCGTAGCTCTCACATGCCAAGGTGCGAAGCCTGGAAAGCAACACAGCCACACTACAGCCAGAGGAAAGGAACTATAAAAGTCCTTACAATACCAACAATCATCCTTTCATAGATCCCAGCATAGGGAATTGTAAGTACAAAACAACCACAACCTTCTTATATTTTATTACTTCATTTCCTTAATACATAGCTGAACTTTTAACACCCTTTAATTTAAATAGGTTGCTCAGCCCACAACGTAAGTACAAGAGACTTGGAAGACATCTAATTGTTTTTAACTAGCTTTAGGCTTTCATTATTGGCATGCATCAAACTTAAGTTCGCACTATTTCTCACAGCACATAAATGTCATTAATACACAGACTTCTTCAACACAATGTTCAGTTTCTTCAGATAGAATTGCAGAGTGGAGCGTTTGATACCAAACATTACTGAGGCCTGACTGACTGTAGAGCCTTGCTTTAACACTGCTTCCAGGGCCCGGGTCACATTGTCCACAGAGTATTTACGAAACATAACATCCCCAGCAAGGGAACGGAGCAGGCTGTCTACTGCCTCAGCCGAGAGCTCCGCGGCATCTCGCTGGGGAGCCACAGCAGCCCAGGAACATGGGAACAGGGTGGGGCGCTTAAGGTCAAGGAGTGGGGCAGGAGGGACATGCCGCTGGATCAGCGAATACAGCTGACCCAGGTAGCCTGGAAACAACGAGAACCTGCTTTCAGAACAGGGCCGCGTGGGGAACCAGCTCTTATGCCTAGCACACAAAAATGCAGGAGGTAGGCCTTTCAGGTGGCAGAAACAAACCACTCTGTTCTAACTTTTTGTATTCACGTAAAACTATTTTCTTACTATTAACCCAACCCAAGTAATTTTAAAATCCCTATGCTGGGACTAATTATACACACAACACAAAGCAAGCTATATTTTAAAGAGTCCCTACTTAATATATCATAAAACAAAGCACTACTCACCTGAACCCTGATTACTTGAGCCTTCGCCACCATGAGATGGGCCAGGCCTCGCGTCGTCCATGTCATCAACATCGTCCAGCGTTGTCAAATTTTCCACACTGTCCTCGTTCATAGTATCATCCAGGTACTCAGACTTTGGTTCCAGCAATATTTCAGACGGAGGTTCTAATTTCTGTACAGGTTCAGGGTCCGGAGGTAAAACTTCTGCTGAGATGTTAGGTTGCGAGGAAGGTATGGATGACCTTTTCAATTCTGGTTCAGTCTGTTCCTCAGGTCCAATAGAAAGAGGGTCACTAGCTGCTCTACTAATTGCGGAGGGAGTGGGCACTACTGGTGAGATTATAGCAGGAATATTGGCGGCAGGAGCTGGCTGACTTTGAGGAGGAAGCTCACAAGAACTACTTGTCTGGTCATGGGAATCAGTCATTGGCAAGAGTCCCTGAGCACCTTCCTCCCCGGTACTAGAGCGTCTGCGATGCCTCTTGCGTTTCCGTGGAATGGGCGAGACACTGCCTTCCCTCGAGCCTCCAATATGGGGACCAGTACCAGGTGGACTGTCTTCTGGCAACTCAACAACAGGTGGAGCAGCTTGTTGGGCACTTCGTCGATGCTCAATTGTGAGACCAGTGGAATGAGGCAATGGAGGGGATCGGGCTTGAGGTGGCTGAGGGGCAACCTCCTTACGACTATGCCTACGATCACTTGTTTCTCTTTCATTGCCACCCCCACTGTCCGAGAGGCCTTTTATTTGTAGAGATTCTGCAGCCTTTAAAAGAGCCCCCAGCTGATCCTGAGATATGTTCACTTCACCCCTATACATATAGTCCATCATTGCCTTCAACTCTTGAAATTTCACATCTTTAAGTATGACTATAGGATGCTTCTCATTGTGCTGACTCAACAGCAACTGTGAACATAAAATCCCTTCATTAGTATTTCATTTAAATTTAAGTAATTAATCTCAATTTTCATTAATAATGCCTTCCATTAAAGATATTCAAACTTTATTAAGAATTATAGAAAGAAAAACAAATTGTCTAGGATTCACTATTACTACATTCAAATATAATTAAATTAAACCTAGTATTTTTTTTCTGTCTGAAACTTACCTCGAAATATGGACTACACGCCGACAAGACAACCTTGTGGGCTTTCAGGTACTGGCCTTCAGCGGCGAGTGTACAATCCACTAAAGTTCCGCTTTCTAGTAACGTATCAAAAACCGCCACTAAAGTACTCTGGTGATTATTCCATCGAAGACAGAACTGTTGTTCAGAAGCCATTTCGCCAACAACCTAAAAGCAAACAAGTCACTTGTATGAAGGGTCTCAAACCGACGCCTACTCGAAAGCTGTCCGTTAGGGTGGGGGAGACGCTTACACGTAATGGCGGACCTTTGCAACAATTTTTCAAGATGGCATAAAACTATATGAAATATTACATATATTCTTACAATATTCTCCCAGACTAAGTGAAACTGAATTAATACTTTCCAATCACCCAGTTCTAGACGTATCCCATAACGAAGAAACGCTATTTCCAAAAAACAAGTTCCCGACAAGGTAACGCTACCCCCATCGCTGCAGTGACATCACCGGACAAGATAATTTCACCGCTTTCTGTAAATTTATACGTCTCCGAACTCTATTTCATAATCCAATCGGTTTTAACTTTCCTCCATGCGATATTTACCTCTTTCTTCCAAATAATTAACAGAATAAACTCCCAAAAAATGCCGTAGACACCGGCAGCAAACAGACCAAACGCCTTCCTCGCTAACAATGGCGTATCTGCAGCAAGATACCGGTGAGTCCAAAGTTGTATTGTGGTGTGCTTCAGAAACGGAACGCGAGGAAACATGCGCAGAAGTTAGGAATGTGGTGACTGCGCACACAAAATGAAGGAGAGGGGAGCGCGAGAAACGTATGTGACTGGCTGTGTGGCGAGAGGTTCCGTTTCGGTCAGCACCACGTTTTCAGACAACCAGAGGAGAAAAGGGTGCAAGGAGAACGGTGAAAAGTCAAAAGAGAGAGCTGAGAGGAAGAAGTGGGTTCACAACAAAATAGCTTAAAAATCGTCTACTCTGTTTTCTCTTGTGTCATAGGTAGCCGAAACTTACCTGTTTCTTCATATACGAGTTTTTGGCAGGTAAGGAATGCTTATAACATTCGTAATGAAGCTTTAAATGCAGTATGAAAAGAAAAATATGTAAGATAATTTCGTCTTGGAAAGAAAAAGAGAACGCCCAGAAGTGGTTTCCTGTGTTTTATTGTCTGAAAGTGTTAGACTGATTGTGATGTTGTTCTCTAGTATTTTGTGACATTCTGCATGATGTGTAGTTGTGTCTTATTTCCTAAAGACATTAGTGTGTTGTCGTAGAAATTGAGATAAAGGAACAATGTGCGAGAGAGATTCTTGTCCTATTTATGACACTTCTCCCGTCTCCGCTTTCTAACGCAAGCGGATTTTATTTGGTTTGCTTCCCTTATGTGTAATTGTCATTATCAAACGTTTAGTGATTTCTAGTAAACATAATGTGGTAGTGGATAAATTGTGGGAGATATCATTTTTTATGTGGCAGGAGATCCAGTTGGCAATACCACCATCTGTCGTATAGTAATAAAACGTATGAAACAGCGATTTCGAGGAGCACAAAAACCGCCCTTATAATTTCTTGTCGCGGTTCATGTTTAAAATCCTGTCTAAACCATTTGCCAACGTGTGTCCTTTTTCTAATATATCATAACGGACGAGGGAATGAGCTTTGGGAGCGGCGGGGTCGAACTTGAGCGGTGCTCTGAGATATGTCAGAAGGGGTGGAGCGGGGGTGGACATCGCGGGCGTGATCGAAGGATCGGCTCTCGGGGCCGGCGGCAGCAGCGCTGGGAGAAGGGGGCGGGGGCGGAGTGTGTGCTGGGAGCCCGGCGCCCGCGGCCACCGCCGCCACCGCCACGCCGGCCACCGCCGCCGGCCCTCACCTGTATTGATCTGGCGGCGGCGGCGACCTCCGCGACCCGCGCCGCCCCCGCCAACAGCCGCCGGGGAAGGGGTGGCGGCGGGACGGGGCGGGGCGGCGGGAGCGTGGCCATTGATTCGAAACGCGAAGGGGAGCCATCGTGAGGCCCGCCGAACCGCCTCTAACGACACCCAAATTCTCCGCTGTCGTCTCCTCTCCAGCCGCCAAACTGGCCGACGTCGTGCCCACCCTCGCTTACCCTGACGCGATGGCCCACGAGGGCTTGCACGCGCCGCCTCCTCCTCCTCACCCTCACCCTCCGTCGCCTTCGTCGTCGTCCCCGCCTCCAGCCGGGCGCTGCGTCTGTCCGCAGGAGGCGCGCGCCAGCAGCATGGCGGGGCAGCACTACTGTCTGCGCTGGAACAACTACCAGTCCAACATGACGTCGGTGTTCCACCAGCTGCTCCGCAACGAGGCGTTCGTGGACGTGACGCTAGCCTGCAATGATTCGTCGCTCAAGGCCCACAAGGTGCGTGGGTGGCCGGCCGCCGCCGTGGTCGCCTGCGCGCGAGGGCGAGGGCGGCCAGAACAAAGCCCGCGCTGTCACCCGCAGTCGCGGGCGCGGGAAGGCAGTCCAGCCTCGCGTGTGATTTTATGCCCCTCGGGAGTCTGCGTACCTCCTTTCATTCGAGGCTCTTTTTTTCTATGAAGATGCACTGCTGTAACTTGACAACTACAGATTGATACTGCAGTGTCATTAGGGAATGTCCATTAGATAATAAATTGCATATGTAAAACTCGTATGCATGACCATGAAAGCATTTCAGGTACTTCTGCCTATGCTGTATGTGTAATGAAGACTTACATTTCATATTCCTGTTTTGAATTATTGTGATGCTGATAGTTATTGCCAGTCTTTTCTTTGCTGACAGTGTAATTCAAATATGAAAGCATTTCTGTTTGTCCACTAATTATGTGGGCCTTGTAAGATAATTTTGTAAATACCCTTTGATCAAAGAACACCTTCCTACCTTCATTATTTACACTTCTACAAAACTGAGATATTGTGTTTATGCATTTAGCTTACACGGCTTTACATTAATTTTGTTGATATTGGTGAATGCGATGAAGTTCATTGACTTTACTATCCCCATATTTTGGTAATTAATGTATGAAATAAGTCAATTTCTTGCATAATGTGTACAAATAAATTTAGTCCCTTAAAGCAGTTAATGTTAGTAATGTTACTTACTGAAATGCAATGAATATGAATATTTTTTGTATTTAAACCCAAGAAACAAGAGTGATTCAAAAATGAATATAACAATTATTGAAATTGGGGCCAAGAGTTTATAAAAATTTCAATTTTTACACTTCACTTATTTCAAGTCTTGGTTTTCATTATTACTTGCAAATCTCTCAATCCTATATTTCTATAAATAGTGGCTACAACATGAAATTAGAATAGGAAAAAGTAAACGGGATTAAAGATTACTCCACAGATTTACTCATTGCTTTTCCAAGTCCTTGTTCTCATATTTCATTAATAACCCTTCTGAATCTGATTTTAGTAATCTTCAATCATTGTTCAGATATTTAATTTAGAATCATTGTTTTAGATATTAATTTAGAATCCTTTTTGTATTGTAGAGTATCCTTTTAGAATCTAAATGGCATTGAAAATATCATTAAGTGCATGATCTGAAAAGAAATTTGCATTAGATAATAGCATTTTTTCTTCTAAATCTAGTCATATTAACTTAGTTATATTAGGTAATGTAGATTCCTGTATTTCTCTTAAGTGATTTGATTTTTTAAACCAAAAAAATCTGCAATGTGCTTGCAGGTGGTGTTGTCAGCCTGCTCCTCCTACTTTCAAAAGCTTTTAATGGAGAACCCTTGCACTCATCCCACCATCATTATGCCCCAAGATGTGTGCTTCAGTGATCTCAAGTTTATCATAGAATTTGTCTATCGAGGAGAAATTGATGTGTCACAAGCTGAATTGCAGGTAAGAAATAGATTATTGACTGTACAATTTCATTACTCTGTGTCTAAATTGGGAAATTGTAACGGTTACCTTGTTTGCAATTAGTTGAGAAGAATTGATTGTACTTTTTGCTCCAAATATTTATTATTTCTGTAACTAGTAAATATATTTCTGATATTTATGAGTATTCAATGGGAGCTATCTCATAAAATACACTGGAACTTCTTTCAATCAAACTTTTGTAGTTCCAAGATATAATTATTGTTTTTCTCTAGGCTTTTTTAGAAGACAATTAAGAAATGTGGTTAAAGAAGAAAGTGTTAAATGCTTAAGGTATTTTTTATAATATTATATTCTAGGATGTCAATGTAAAAAAGGAAAGAAATAATTGGTTGTAAAGTAAAATAAAATGCCACCTTGAATAAATTATTTCCCTACAAACTTTTCCTGCAAAAGTTTTCCTGTACAGTATACCTACTGAATAGTAAATTTGCTTCAGAAAACAAAGTTTAAGCTATCTAATTAGAAATATTTCATTGATTAGATGAAACTTGATGTTACAAAGGTCTTTTGAAAAGTTTGCGAGGTAAAAATGCATGTGGAAGGGCTCGGAGCTGCCTTCAGATGTGGCCCTACTTCAGAATTTCTACAAGAATATTATTCTACAGTTAATTATCACCCTGCATTTTTTATAATTTTTTGTCGGGGACCCCAGCCAATTAACCTCTTCACTTTACAGTAGTTGCACTACTGATCACAGTAGCTGATTCAGTTGTTTCTATTTTGATCAATTCGAAGGCTTATTCTTGTTGAAGAGAAAAAATGGAAACGTGTAATCAGTCACATAAAGTATACTTATAAGTCACATAAAAGAAACTTAAGATAGATTTTTTGTGATTTTGAAGATATCATATTTCATTAATTGATCATAATTTCAATTTTTGAATATAAATATCTTGTTTATTTGAATACCGAAAGGTCTAAATGAATGAAGTAGACAGCAGTCTGTGAGAAATTTTTAAAGTACATTGATACTATGGGTAAAGTATTTTGTTGGTTGAGAGTTACGTCTCGGTGGAATTTTTTCTATCTTCAGTAGTATAAAATCATCACTATCATTAATTACTGCTGGTTAAAAAGATATAAAACAAAAAGAGGGGTACAAAATTGTGGAGTTGTTAAAGAATATTAACTAATGTCGTTGAGCATTTGAGATAAAGTTTACTGCTGATATCTATTGCTAAAACTATGAAGTCATCAGTAATTTACAACTGGAAGATTTGTAAATGCTGATTATTATTTGTGCAAAACTATGATTTACTATTTCCTTCGGGGGGAGGGGAGATATTGAATTTACATTAGCATTTTTTACGTAGTGTCAGTTTCATCATTACCTTTTCTTTTGACAAATTATCACTAAACTTTATTTACAAATTTTATGAGCATCAGCCGTTATTATACTTCAGCAACTACTGTCATCAGTTGATGGATGCAATACTTTCAAGAAAAAGATTCCATATATTCATTACTTGTTCTGCCTATGTTAACTAGTTGAGAATGTTTGAAAGTATTGTGATTTAAATTATATGATCATTGGACTTTTGTTATTTTTAATTTTTCATACATATAGAGAAAATATTAAAAAAAGTGCATTTAAAAGAAAATATCATAGAGAAAAGTAACTTTTTGGATTCTGAAAAAGTTTTTCCTCAGAATGTGTCTCTGCCTATCCTTGTGCCTGTTAATCACACTAGCACCAAAATCGTAATCAGAACTTTCATCAAAACTGATGTATTAAAAATTTGGGTGGATTTTTCAAAGCCCTCCTCATTTCCATTAATGAAGACAGATTTTTTTCTTAATAAAATGTGTTCTGCAAAATTGGATAACATTATGCAGGAAGGAATCAAGCAACTAAGAAACTAAACAGAAAAATGGACGAAAAGTTAATTGCTGATAAAAAATATTCGCTTACTCCGACCAGCATGTTAAAGGGATGTAATTTATGCTAAAATGGTCCTCCAAACATTTTCTAATACCAAGATATTACACCTTTTTGGTGGGTTGATTCCTTTATGCAACATGGTAGTTGGATCCAAACCAATTCTTCTGCATCAAGCAATATGTTTTGTTTCAATGAGTATTATTCACCTACATAGACAACTGTTACCTTGTTAACATGTCGATTATTCAATTTCTTAACATGGTACCCCAGAAGAAATATAATGACAATGTCTTTCACATTCTTGTCTCCTAGTAAAGCAGTGTAGAAGTCTCGTGCATCTCCTGGAATTAAATCCATGATAGATGTATGTCCTGAAGTTTTGGGTTTGGAATTGCCTTTCCATTTATACACAACGATGACAAATTATTCCCAAACAGATTTTAAGATGGCCAATCACTTTTTCATTTTTTGTTTATTTTGTTAATCTCTGACAACTCCCCTGCAAATGATTTCCTGGTGAAACGGGGGCATTGTATCTTATTTTCTTGCCTCATTTGGAGTGTCTGCATTGAGGAAATTTTCTCATTATTTGTATTCACTTTTCTGTTCATTGTCAGGTTGCTCGTTCCACTAAACCTTCTCAATTTTACATAAGAGACTTTTGGAATAACACAATTTTGAAAAACTAATCACTTACACATTGCATAAACAAATTACTAAATGTTCCCAAAATGGTTTGCATTACTATCATCACAAAGCAGATTTACTTTTCTCCTGAAAGGAACTATACCAACTGGATTCTTTCTGCAGAAAGACAACGTGACATATTCACTCAGTGTTTTCGTAAATGGTTTATCTACGGGATAATCATGCGAGTGGATGTTTGGATCATTTCCACAGAACAGAGTGATACTTCAAGGAGAATAATATAACATTAACTCAGCTTTTGCAAATTTGAATGTTGTTCCTTTGCAGATTGTGGCCAAGTAGAGCTTTAATAATGTAACATATATATATATATATATATATATTATAATAATATATATATATATATATATATATATATATATATATATATTATTTATAATTATAATATTATATATATATATATAATATATATATAGAGAGTTTCTTATTGCCTTACTTAATAAGAAGGAAAGTACTGTTATTTTGCCAACAAGAAAGCCAAATTTTAATATCACCAATTGTTTAAAAAAAATTGTATTATTAATGGACTTTTCACTGTAAAATGAATGCAAATAAGAAAAAAGCCTGTTTTTAAAAATAAAGGGAGAAATTAAAATCTTGAAGTGTATCCATGAGAATTCTAACTTTATGGAGAAGGCAATACTGTTGATCAACAGTTTAATCCCCTTCAAATAAGTATTACAATAAATTAACCAAATGTGAAATTCTAAAGTAAGAATATTATTACTTTTGTCTTGTATAACAAATCATTAATTTCAAAATTTTCTGTAAATGACCTAACAGTTCCAATTAATCAACAAGAAAAAGGATTAAGAATATGCAAGAATGTCTTGTTACACTATACTAACAGTAATGCACCTAAAATATTTCATATAGATGTAAGTAAGATTCACTGGCACTCAACGTTTAAACTGAGGAGAAAAGTGTGGCGAGTGTAAAGAAGTTTAATGAAATGGCTCAGGATCATAGAAACTGTATGATTTAAAAAAAATGGTCATATTGTTAAAACAAAAATCTAAATATTCTTTTCTTGCTGTTGAAGGGATCTTATGGGATTCATACATTTGGTGTGTGGGTGAAGTATATATATTGCCATTTTATAATTTTCACCTCAAAGCAATTTTTTGCTTGTCATGGTTAACAGAAATTCACAATATGAGGGAAACAATGTAGTAAAAATACAGGTATCACACCATCTTGTGCAAAAAAGTGTTTTATCATTGTATTAATTTGCTGTTTAGTCACTTCTCAAGACTGCTGACCAACTGAAGATCAAGGGGCTTTGTGAAGTGCCTGATGGGAAAGACGGTGGCCCAGGAATTGGATCTGCGGAGGTGACTCCTTTGCCTATTTTGTCCCGACGATCCTTCACCAAATTACGGCGCCTCTCTGGAACAAAACGTCAACGTCCCGATGCAATGGTGCGAAGGGGAATATTCAAAGATGGGGATCATCCTCCTCATCCCATTCACCAGCTGCAACAACAGCAGCAGCAACAGCAGCCGCAACAGCACCCACAGCACATGCAACAGCAGCAGCAACAACAGCAGCAGCAGATGCAACAGCAGCAGCAGCAACAGGTAATCTCTCATACATTAAAATAATGTTAGTTCTTGCTAGAGCAACTAAATTTATTAGATTGTGCATATCTTAAATAAGCTTTAATGTACATAATAATATTGTAGAAATATATCTGTAGTAAAATATGACGTCTTCTCTCATTTGATCTGAAATTTGAAGGGGGGGAAACCTGAAATTTCTCCACTCCAAATTTGCATTCCACAACGTTTTTGAATCCCCTGTTCAAATTAGTATTTAGTAATTGAGCAACTTTAATGTCTTTTAAACTTTCACATCTTTTAAAACCATCCATAGCGTTTGTTGTTCCCCTTTGTAAAAGCACATACAAAAACTACAATAAAAGAAAATAAATTCCCTTAACAACAGTATGTAAAACATTCGTAGTGGAGGAGGCCAGTTTCCACGTGTGTGCTTGTGTCAGGATATTGGGGATAAAAAGAGAGTACCCACATTGGATTTCTGGTCATTTGAACCAGTACAGCAGCATTTTTGTGTGTATGTTGTATCATGATTATATTTTTTTTAATGAATTGCACTTTTTTTATTTGGAACAGTTGTTGCCAGAGAGAGAGTAAACCAGGAACACCAACTATTGATTCTCACGTCATTTCTTCAAAGTTTCAGCCAAAGTTGGAAATTTGTACATACACTAATCTTTACAGATGCAGCAACAGGCTTTGCAACAGCAACAACAACAGCAGCAGCAGCAGCAGCAGCATGTCCAACAAGTACAGCAAGTTCAAGCAGTCCAAGTTGCACAAGCACAACAGCAGGCAGCCCAACAGGCTGCACATCAGGCTGCTCAACAGGCTGCTCATCAAGTGGCAGCCCAACAAGCTGCTCAGCAGCAAGCACAGGCAGCTGCCCAGCAGCAAGCACAAGCCCAGCAGCAAGTCGCACAAGCCCAACAGCAACAGCAGATGGTGGCTCAACAAGTGCCACAAGGCCCTAATGGCCAGCCCATGGAGATGGGGGCAGTGTCTGCTGCTGAGATGGCTCAGCGCTCAGCAGTTGGGCTTACTGAGCGTGTGCCTGAATGTGTCACTGTGGCAACATCCACTGAAGATGACCATGATATGCCCGTTGTTGTTCTGGAGAGCAAGATATCACCCTCCCACCTGGTAGGGCTTGTCTCTTTGCCTTTCAGTCTTGTCTGCTGCCAACCTGATCATTTGTGCTTGAACTAAAGTAGAAGCCTGTTGCCTTTTTTATTTTTAATGTGTGTGTATATGGTAGTTTGTGGTGTGATGTATTTAGTATTTGCTGACAACACTAATTGCAAAAGCTGTTTCCATAATTATTTAGGTTGCATTCATGTGTGTCTTAAATGAACATCGGCTTTGTGATAACAGCACATTGCTTCTGTAGCAGCATGTCTGAGCATCAGACCTACTTGGTACCAGAATGAATGCATTGTTTAGAAGTCAAATGGTCTTGAGTAATTGTAGTTTGTTATATTTCTTTTTTAATATTTCAATGCTATTAATTATTTATTGGCCTTATTTTATTTGATCAGTAGGAGATATTTTAGTTTATAAAATATGTTAAACCACTTGACTTCTGAACTCATCAAGTGCATGAAACTTACCATTTCTGAAGTGTCATCAAACTTGAATCTCAAGAAGACAGTTCACTCTGGCAGTCATGTGTGCCTTCCCCATCGCTGTATGTATCCTCAGTTGTATGCTCCCCTCAAGGTGCATGCATCGCTATGTTGTGGAGCTGTGCTAATGAGATACTTACTGCATGAACCATGCGCTAGCTGGGCGCCAACCAATGCCTGTGGGATTGACGCTGTGCAGGCTGCATCCTACGTGTTCCAGATGGTGCCCCACAGCAACGCACCTACGCCCGTACTTACACCTCATAGCATGGCACCTACTCCCCAGATGGTGATGGAAGGACATCCAGGTTCACACAGCAGTGGCAGTGGTACTGATGTGGACCTGCCCCCAGAGGCTCAGCCTGCAGCTCCGCAAGCAACACTCGTGGAGAATATGGAAATGGAATGTTCAGATCGCAGTCGTGACATGCAAGGTGGGTGTTTGCTAATGTGTAAAATAAGGAAAGTGCTTGTTAATTTGGATTCTGTACAGTATTTAATTGTGTTAACATTTAACAGACAGGTTATAAATGAAGTCAATTTTCTCCATATAATTGTTGAAGCACTGTATTATAATGTATTTATAAGTTTGTTACTTATATTTAAGTTTCAAAAAATCTCCTAATAGTATGAATGCAACTCTTTTTATGTATGTTTTATAGACACTTCTGAGAGAAATATATCTCTTACAGCAGAGCCCTCTGGTCAAGTGCATCGAGAGGAAAATGTGAAAGTTAAATTCGAGACACTTCGAGCTATGGAACAAGCAGATACAATTGATATTGATAGCCACATGTCTGAGAGGGTAAGTTTTTGGGAACGCATCTAATGACAAAAAAGAAGAGGGTAGAACCAGGACATGAGAACAGCATTGCTACTAAAAACAACTATTAATATTATGAGTTTAAAAAAGTTAAATAAATTGTGAGAGTTACAAAATTTCAAGACGTTAAATGCTGCGTTACGAAAAGTGTTAAAATAAAATAAGTATTACTTACATTTTATTAGATTACTAAGCCTGATTTCATAACATTACATCATTATATCAGGATATTGTTTTAAGAGAATCCGGTTTCAAAGGGAATTGGATTCTAAAATAACAATAAATTGAAAAAGGTAGTTATACATGTATAAATTTAATCTAAATAAGAGGTTTAGAACATGTCTTGACCCAAACTTTCAGTAGATATTATGGAAACTATGTACTTGCAGAATGTTGAAGATGAACACACAATGCACACAATGATGATCACTCCTGAACTGCTAGGACTTATCCCGTCGTCATCTGGACATTCAGGTATGTGCATGGTTGGTAGACTTCCGACAGGGTGTTTTTTGGATGATTTACGAGGAGATCCAACTGTTTACAAAGTCTAATCAGGCTTGCTCAATATGTATTTTTATATCTCTTAACACAAATAGAATTTCTTTAATTGTAAATAATGTACAGAACTACAGAACATTGGTGAATTAAAAACATTTAAAAGAGCATGCCCTCTCTCTACAGTAATGAAAGAAAATGGTAACTTTTTTTTTCCCAAAATGATTTTAAAAAATATGTTAGTTTAAAAAATGATATTCTCATGTGTTTGTGTGAAATGTGTTGACAGTGTTAAAGACTTTCTATACTGAAAAGTGAATCATTTTCTTTCTTTTTTTGTGGAATATACACTGAACAATATTTTGAGTGCATGTTACGTTGGGCTTATTTCCTACTTTGCATGAAGAAGCATGCATTATATGGGAGGGAGCACGCGCCCAAAGGAAAGTGCCTGTGAGCTTGGGGGAATGGGTGGCTAACGGTGGCTTGTTGTGTTTGTAGATCTGAGTGGGGATGCTGTGAAGGGCAGCCCCAAGAGCTGGACCCAGGAGCACATGGAGATTTCGGGTACATACAGCCTAGCAGGTGCATGCCCCTCCCCAGCTGGCTGCTGCTTTAATCCTCCGACATCCACTGACTCTCGTTTTCTTTCAGATGTCAACAATGAAACAACGCCCAAAACAGGAGGAGGACCCAAGACTTGGACACAAGAGGACATGGAAATGGCATTGGATGCGTTACGCAATCATAATATGAGTCTGACAAAAGCATCTGCAACGTACGGAATCCCTTCCACCACTCTATGGCAACGGGCACACAGACTAGGTATTGACACTCCCAAGAAAGAAGGTCCGACGAAGAGTTGGACTGAAGACAACCTTAACAGTGCATTAGAAGCTCTTCGTACTGGTACCATATCAGCTAACAAAGCCAGTAAGGCATATGGTGAGTGAGTCATATAAATTAATGTCTTGTGAACATAAAATTGTCTCTTTTGTGACAAGCTTTTTCTATTAACTCATTTTCTTTGTTTCAAGCAATATAAAATAAAATATGTCTCTCAAAAATTAAGTTGTGTCATTTCTATTTAAATTTTGTTTATGCATTGGATTAATAGAATATGTTCAAAAAAAGGGGACCCCTTACTAAGGCAAGATATTTCTGTTGCTTATAGACAGTTTTCTGATTTGAATTTGCAAAATTAAAAAGGATGAACTTGACCTCTTGGAGCTTGAGATTTTTTACAAAGCTATCCACATAATATTATTTGATCTTGAAAATTAAATTCTAAAACTTTTCAAAACATAGTCTTTATGGGTCCGTTATTAGAGTATTGGTATAAGAATGATTATGTAAATATTTATCCCCATAATCATGACTAAATGTTTGTATGTCATCAAAGTGAGAATATGGAAGAAATACCAGAATCTCGCCAAAAATCACAATGAAACACAAAAAATCCTAACAAAAACAATTGTCATTTGGTGTTTAACAATTATATACATGTAAATTCAAGTACAGCTTTTAATTTAAAATGTTCATGGGTGTCTTTTTTTTTTTTTTAGGAATTCCCAGCAGCACCCTGTACAAAATAGCACGACGTGAAGGTATCCGTCTGGCAGCACCTTTCAATGCAGCCCCTACTACCTGGAGCCCAGATGATTTGGAACGCGCTCTTGAGTCCATCCGGTCAGGGGCTTCCTCTGTGCAGCGAGCCTCTACCGAATTCGGCATCCCCACCGGTACCCTCTACGGGCGCTGCAAGAGAGAGGGCATAGAGTTGTCCCGTTCCAATCCCACCCCCTGGTCTGAAGATGCAATGGGAGAAGCTCTGGAGGCAGTGCGTGTGGGCCAGATGAGCATCAACCAGGCAGCCATCCACTACAACCTTCCTTACTCCTCCCTGTACGGTCGTTTCAAACGTGGCAAATACGAGGCAGAGGGGCACCACCCTGAGGAGCCACCAGGCCCATCACCACCACCACCTCAGATCATGGTGGTGCCCTACCAGCAGCCGCCACCACCCCCTCCTCATGCACAGCACCTCCCACCTCAACCTCCTCAACACCACTCACCTCAGCAGCACCCCATGTACCAGCACAGCAGCTGAGCTCTGTATGGTGAGCCGCCTCGCTGCTGCTAAGCACTGCCACATGAGGAGACTTTTGCTGCTGCTGCGGACAGGCGGTAGCAGCACAGGTCAGTCCAAGCACATCCTGCAGATGAAGGCCAACCCTCTTGCCATCAGACAGCACACTTAGATCGCTACATGGAGGATTCTTGTATGCAGAGTGGGTGTTCAAGAATCATATTTATAATAGCAGTATGCTGTTTTGGTCCTCGGCAGTCTTGCAGCAATGAGGCAGCTAGTTTCTGTAAATCAGATCATCCTGCTTCTTTAGCTAGCAGGATTTTTGAGTGCAGCTCCCGGCTGCAGTGGGGCCAGAATATGGGGAAACGTGAGTGCTCCTGAGATGAGAGCAGGTCGTTTGCACCCTGAATAGGGTGTTTCAGGGCACAATATGTGCTGGTGCTTCCCTCTTTCTTGCCCTCTTGAGATTCCTTTGGCCTGATATCCACCTGACTCGGAGCTGCTCCTCGGAACAGCCTCAAGTCGCAGCCTGTGGTGGTTGGCTGCAATGCCTGGTGTGTTCATCCGGCCCCCCACCGCCTCCACAGCTGCTCCTGAATTGTCCAGACCCTCCTGATCCCACCCATTCCCTGCCAGTCTTCTAAATCTGTCTGTTTTGCTGTCTGCTTTAGGACAGTCAGTGAGCAAGTCATAAATCTTGCGTAAGATTTTCATGAAACACAGAAAATTCCATTTCAGATAGATGAAGAGTTGGCTCTTAATTGGAGGTCAACAAGACTTCAATTTTCAAATGTATATCCTTCACCCACATAAAACATCCTCAGGGGTTTTACATAAAATTTTGCTTCCTTGATAGTTTCCCCTAGAAAGTCCAGAGGAAAACAACCTTCTGTGTACATTGCTTCATCCCAGTGGTGGTGGATCCAACATTGATACGTGTCTGAGTTAATGGGTTCAATAAAAAATCTATCAGAATTTTAAGGCTCCCTTTCTTCGTGGGTCTAGTCATCTGAAAGAAAACACTATACAACTCAGGCATAAGCAGGGGCCTGACTTCAGAGCAACATGGGCTGTGATCAGAGGGGGGAGACTGTTTGGACAGTGTATGTATGTTAATCACTTCTTAGGGAAGGTATGTACATATTAACCATCATTGGAAATGTGAAGATTTGATACAACTATATACTTGGTTTAGAGATCCTGTATCAGAAATTAGTTGAATTAATGACATGTTGCTGGATGTTAATGTTACACTGCTGCTGTTTTTGTTTCCAAATACTTTTGAATGCTGCAGGGCAGAGCAATGCTGGGTTGCTTAAACCCAGTATTTGCTTCTGAGACCCAGACTGTAGCTAGTGGATCAACGCTTTTTAGTGGCCAACGCACGTGCGTGTGTGTACGGAAGAATGAGTGTGTCTGAGCGAATGTGACAACAGGAATTGTACTGCCAATCTGCCCCACCATTCAGGTGACTGGATGACGAGCCACTTGTATGGACTTGCAGGTTCAAAAGCCCTTTTGTGATGTTTCCATCACCCGGCAGACGTTTATGAACGTGATTTCAAGAATTATTGCTCCCTTGACATTTTGGGAGTTGACTGTACACCTGTCTATGTGACCACCTGCAGGGCCTGCCACAATCTGCCCCCTCCCAGCAGCAAAGCTGTGACACCCCTATGGGCATTACCATACAAATTATTTTTTGTCAAAGTGCCAGCATTTGAAAACATTTTAAAGTTGTAACCTGTATATAGCTTAGAACTTAGTTTGTGATACTTGTTTTAACTCTTGGGATTGCAGACTTGCTAACCCTGCAGGTGGAGGCATGTTGTAGGCTGTCATCTGCCCAACAGGCACATAGCTACCTCTTTTCATCAGCTAGGCAGACGCCACCTGTAGCTTGCAGAGTGGCATGGTGTAAGGGCAAATATATTTTGATAAATAAAGGGTGAAAGGTTTGTTAGTTTCAGATGTACAATATTGTAAAGTTATTTGAGAATAGTTATGAAAGTTAAAGAGTACAATAAGTCTACAGATATACTTGTGTTTATTTTCTATTTTATTTCCTGCTGTTAATGTGAAGTAAATCTTAAAATATAATCTGTTCTGTCTGTCCATCCTTCCCTGATGAACATCTGTCCTTCCTTCCCCCTGGTGAAATTCATAAAACAAAGATCCTATTCAGTCATCTATTATTGTATGCGAGTATTGAGTATGCAATCCAAGGTGTGACATTATTAGTGCCATTGTCAGTTTGATCAATTTTGAGATAATTATAGATATTTCTTGGTAAAAAAAAAAAAAAATCCAAACCAAAAGTTTGCAAACTGAGTTCATAGGATCAAAGGAAGAAGTCTAAATTACATCAGTAATATATACAACGGCTTGAATTGTTCATTTGAAATGGGCTTGATCAAAACTAAGTCATTTTCCCATAGTGATAATTGTTGTGAATGATTAAAGTGTCTCAATTGTTGCATCTGCAAAATAAAAGTATTAAATAATAAAGAAAAAATAATTTCGATTACGAAATTGTAGTATTATAACATTTCGCAAATTTGTTAGTTTGACTGAATGTATGCTTTATGTTTTCGCTCTCTTTATACGTTAAGGGAAGTGAAGTTCTTAATAGTACGTAAGAAACCCTCTACACAAAACACTAAGTTCAATACGAAATAATTCCCCTTGCATCACGGAGATTTAAAACAAAACAAAAGTTCACAATTATGGCAGCTTTGGTAAATCAAGCCCAGGTGCAACCTGCAACATACTACCGTTGTATATAACCCACATTATGGGCAGATGTCCCCTAATGGTAGGCTTGAAATAATAATTTAAAAATATCGTTAGTGCATACAACCAAACTCAGGAAGACATAAAAAACAAACTTAATACCTAAAATAGAATGTCTGGAACAATGAAGGGACACTGGCAGAGACATGGAACATGCGACAGGCGCCACAAATAACGTCACCTCGAATATACAGCATTTTAATGAGAAGTTTGCCGTTCTTGAAAAGATTTCGCTCGTGAAACGTATAAATATGCTGGCTCCTGGACAAGAAAGTGTGAACATTCAAATACGTCTGAATAATGCTTGGTCGAATTCCGTAATGAAAACGTTTTGTACGTTCCTGAAGCAAGTGCCCAATTATTTTCCGTAAAAGCAGCTGCGAGAAGTTTTTTCTAAGAGACTCGATCGAAGTGTCAACATTGAAGATCGCATCACTGAAAAAGGATGATAGCCGGATATATTTGTCACAATCTGTATGTATTGACCATGCGCATTGTGAAGCCGTAACAAGTTCAAGTGAATATGGTGACATCACAGACATTGCAAGTCTACCATGAAAGGTTTGGCCATCAACATAAACAACACGTGAAGTGTCCTGAAGCAGATGAACATCAACGTGGACAAGGGCAAGGAAGAATTCTGCGATGGACGTGCACTGGGAAAAATACATAGGTTGCCATTCCAAAAACGGATGAGTCGCTTGACGGTAACTGGTCCAACGGATGAGTCGCTTGATGGTAACAAATCCATGCCGATATAAACGGACCCATGTCGACTGAATCTCTCGGGAAGGCGCGCTACTATGTGTGTTTTAAATATGATTTTAGCAAGTATCGTCGAGTTTTCTTTTTGAAGCACAAAAGTGAAGTTTGCACCATTTTGGAGCAGTTTTTGAATGACGCCAAGGCGAATGGGCCTGTTATCAAGCCTATGTACACGTAAGATTCCGCGGATCGAGTCATGACTTCTTGGCTGTCCGGGTGACGCCGCATCGTAGGCTGAGAGGCCGACATGACAGACGAAACGTCGGCCTCTCAGCCAACGACGCGGCGTCATCCGGAGAACCAAGAAGTCATGTTATCAAGCAACTGAGGTGTGATGGAGGAAAGGAATTTGACAACTAGAAGGTCTCTGAACTGCTAGCAAGCAGGAGCAACACTGCTTTACTCTGCCGTATACACCACAGCAAAATGGTGTTGCGGAGCGAGAAAATCGAACCATTGTCGAGTGCGCGCGTTCCATGTTAAATCCAAGCTAGTTGCCAAAAGAACTGTAGGCAGAACTTCTACATACCTCCTGAGAATCGCACCGGAAAGTCTTCCATTGAAACTAAATCTCCTTATGAATTGTGGCATAGACCACCAGTAGGAAGTCTCAATCATTTGAAGACTTTCGGGACACAATGCTTCATGCACATCAACAAGAACTTCGTGAAGTTTGATGATAGCGTTATCATCAACATGGACATCTGGTGAATACGTGAACGACCGGGATGGATTCACGGTCTGGATTACGACCCAAAGGTAGATAGGCGCTTCATCGCCGACAAGCTTGAAGATTCATCTGAAAAACTCGCATCATCGATGTATGTTTCCTACTAGAAACTGTTGGACAGTGGAAAAATCCGCTTCAAGACTAGATTGGTTCAAAGGCAGGGAATTGATTCTAAAGAGACGTTCAGCCCTGTGCACGGTATGAAACCATTAGATCTTGGTGGCCGTAGCTGCCACATTTGGTTTGAAGCTCGCTCAATTTCATGTTAAAACCGGCTCTTCAACGGTGTACTTGAATAATACGTGTGTATGAAACCACCAGAGGGATTGAGGACAATATTGAACGAGTGTGTTACGTGAAAAGTTTGTATGGCCTGAAACAACCGCCGCGCTGCTGGGACAAACGATTTGAGAAGTTTATGAAGAAAGCTGGATTCAAAAACAGTAGTGCTGATCCATGTCTGTTCTACTATATGAGAGAAGGAAATATGTGTATGTTGTAATTTTTGTGGATGACGGTGTGGTTATTGCAACTGAAATAGAACTCGAGGAATTCATGGAAATGTGTTACAGAAGGGATTTCATACAAGGGGGCTTCTCAGAAACTTCGGGGGCTTGAGAATGCAGCAAAATGAAGATGGATCAATAAAAATTGATCAAGAAAACTACACACGAAAAGATTTGGAATGGCCGAGCCGAACGGATGACTACTCCAATTGGGCACGAGGACAACGACGAAGGAGAAAAGGTCACAGCCAGGTTCCTTATCGTGATGCAGTTGGTTCTTAAATGTAACTGATTCCAGCTACATGTCCTGACGTTGCTTTTGAGTTAATAAAGCGGCTCGGGGCATGGAAAATCCTACAAATTAAGACTGGAATCAAGTGCAACGAATATTTCGACATTTAAAGAGCACCGTAAACTAAGGAATCGTCTTCAAGACGGGACGTTTGAAGCTCTGCTGCGATGCTGATTACGCCGGTGAAAAGATGACGAAAGTGTCGTGGACTAGTCAGTAGCAACGTCGACTACAGAAGCTGAAATAATAGCAGCAAGTGAAGGAGTAAATTATTAAATGTAGATGAAAATATGACTACTTGAATTGCTGGAAACTGTGAAAAACTCTCCTACGCTCTACATCGATGCCGTAAAACTAGCTAAAACTCCAGAATATAATCGCAGATCAATCCACATAAAAGTTCACTATTTCTATGTAAGAGAGAGGTTCTTGGATGGAGATGTGAAATTGGAGCACATCGACGGCACCAATGAGATTGCTGATCTACTGACAAAACATCTGGAGAGGATTAGATTTGAGATGCTACATGAGAGTATCCGTTTTTCTTTTGGAGGAAGTGTTAATATGAAAACAAAAATTCAGACAGTAACGCCATCTGTGTACGTTTCTTAGAACATTTTGAGCTAAGAACTGGTTGGGTTGATCTGTCGTGTCAATGCGTGTTCGTGCTTACTTCGTTACGAACGTTTATGAATACTTTTATTTTGTATGTTCAAGATGAGAAATAAAATAACATTTATAAAAAGAAATTAAAATATATAAAAAACATTTTCCTTTGCTATTCCCTGGTTCCACCTCGGTGTTTGTTCAATTCTTCTGGGCGTGGGATCCAGTTCACCGCGTCAGTAAATAAAAATTGAATACAGTCAGACCAAGAGATTACGGAAGGAGTAGAACGCAGAAATTCAAAATCTTGCTTGTTTCCAAAATGTACAAAGAATCTGTGTTCAAAATCAATGGCGGCTGGTGGAGGTGGGCTGCGGGGCTCATTGAATTTCTCTTTGATATTAAAATAAAATATGCGATGTATTTCTTTCAATTTCATGACCACAATAGCCCATTGCTGGTGCGTGTATAACTAGCCAGAAGATCCCGCCGTTTTCTGATGCTATTCCATTTCTTTCCCTGGGACTGCCAGTCCCGGCTGCGTGCAGCGAAGTATGGGCATACTTGATTTCGCTCTCCCTGCTGTATATGATTCTCAATATTGGGACTCGAGGTGCTGCAAGAAAGTCAGTCCCTCAGTTTTGGGCGATGTTTACATGATTTCTACAGTTCTGGTGGACATATGATATACTTGAGGTACTGTATTTTGTGTTTTCTCCTTTTTACTTTCTCGCTGCGGAGTAGAAGGAAAGTTATGTAATGTTGAGCGAAGTAGCGGCAATGATTCGGCAGAAAACTCTTTTACAAGGCCATGGTAACGAAAAAGTGAATGATTTTAGTTGCTAAATTTATGAAAAAATCCTCTAACTCGTGAAGTAGCCAGAATCCATGTTTTGTGGGTTCTTGATACCGAAGAATCGACTGACAGCAAAACGCATCTGTCCGTCCGTCTATGAACATCACTAGCGGCTAAACCATTCAGCCAATTTCCTCCAAAACTGCTATTCCCCAACACATCTTGCTGATGTCACAGCTCCTTGAATTTGAAACCGATATTTTAATTTTTGGGAGTGCTTTACACGAAGCCCCTGAGACATTCTCAATATTTTCAAAAAAATAGCTCCATCGTTTTTTATTAAATTTTGTGATTGGATAGTGTGACGGACGTTTAAGATAATGGTGTTGGTTTCATTTTTGTTAAAAACCCTGATTTTTCAAAAATTGCAGAAGTTCAAAATTTTTTCAGAGTCCTCCTAGAACTAAAATATTGATGATAGAGATTTTTCCTTACTGAAATCTCTTTCTTAAAAATAGATTTCGAAATAAGGTCATGTACAATTTTTCGAACATTTGAGTACTTTGAGTAATTTTACCTGAAGGTATGTGCTGTTATAGCTCCACTAGGTCGGGTTTAGAATGGATACAAATTGTAATTCTGGACAATATTTAAAAAATGAATTTTAGAAGCTCAACTCGTCAAGAAAAGTGCGATGCAAAAGTTCGCGGTAGAACTACACCGGTATTGAACACATCTCAATTCATTTTCTATTTTGGCATGCAGCCCCACCCCCATTAATTAAAGGTACCAGCCGCCGCTGTTCAAAATATAAATTAAATCAGGCTAGAAGAAGTGTCAGAGAAAAAAGTGTTTGCTGATCTATAAACAAATCGCTTCGCGTTAATGAGTTTGTGCTTTGTGACATTGATCAAACCATTTCAAAATCATTCTCAGTAATGAACAGTATTCTCCAAATTAACCATCCACAGAAAAAGTGGAATATTATATTCACAGCAAGTATTAGTAAACACATTGGTTTTATTTACATTTATGATTGTATTGAAATGGTGTTATCTCAAAAAAAAAAATCACATTTCTCAATTTTTCTCAAATGAAATACTACATTTACATCACAGTGTTTACATACTTCTCGTCGCAAAAAAGTTCTGTTACCTTGGGACTGTCCTCGCTCGCATATGGTCTAGCCAGGACGCTATCGTCGGGCGCCGCGCCGTCACCTTGCTCCACGCGTAGGGTACTTGCGCCGCGTTCCTCTGGAGACTCGCTGAGCACTGTTTCCACGATCGCTGCGTCGACCAGATCCACTCGAAATACCCACTTCCAATTTCTTCTTTCTTGCTTCCTCTTCTGGCACCGGGAAACTCTCGTACGCACGCTTTGCTTTTTCTTTTCGTTCCTCCGCGCGTTGAACGCAACCCTGCCTAGCTCTCGCACATATAGAATAACTAACGGTATTTTCGATTCTTGGCTTCACGGCACACATTTAATTCACAACTTTTGATTATGGTTTTAAAAGTTCTCACTGCCTTTCAACTTGTAGAAATTACTGTCAAAGTTTCGTAACTACTTCGCCTCTCTAATTTAGTTCAGATTTAACTGATTTCACCAACTAGTAATTTTTCCACAACTATTTTGCGTGCAAATCACAATGGATGATTTTACGCTACTTTTCTCGTTAGCTTCACTATGCAAATTTTACTTCAAACGCACTACCAAAATGGTGTTCTCGATACTGATTTCTTTATACTCGCAAATTACCATTGACTCCGCCGGCGACCGAACCAAGAAGAAGCTCCAGTCAGCTCTCAGCCGTTTTTAAGTGCCCTCCCTTCCGTGCAGAGGTGGTAGCGCGTCATACCCCTTCGAGACTTTCCCCTCGCATTGGCCATGACTAGCAAGTGCCGTGCTGAGTTGTCACCAAATACTAGTACGTACTCCGCTCTGACCACAGTGGCACGTGCTCTTCTGTATGACGACTAATGACACCGCAACAACGTGGGCGACTGGGGCGTTTGGTAAAATTTTCAACCAAACTCTATCCACACTTGACTGTTCTGGCAATGTGCCAACCGTTTATTCACCACCAGAACGCTGAACTTTCGTGTAGGTAGCTCCCACAACATGACACCCTCGCTCTTTGATTTTGATAAAATTCCAATACCATCGACGCGCTTCTGCCATAACCCCATTACACAGGCTCTTCCTCCGATATCATTACGCATGCCTTAGCAGTAATATGCTTTTCACGAGCGAGGGACAGCGAGAGATATCTATTGATCCATTCATCTAGTATTACTACTTTAGTTAACACTACGATATACAGCAACAAATTTTGACAGTGTTACCGTCGAAGAAATACATGACAGTGTGGATCTACTGATACATATTTCTAACAACTAGCTTATCAATACTTTCATTTCTAGAAGGAAGGACAACAAACATTCACCAAAATCATGCAAATATGACCGATGACATGTCCTTTTCCTTCTTGCTTTTAATGGATGTAATTCATTCACTTAGTGTAGACAATAGAAGGAAATATTCTGCAGTGCTTATGGGAAACTGATTTGTCTGAAAAGCTCTGTCTAATCAAACTATTTTATTGCAGAAGCAGGTGAAATCTTTTTGTCAATTTGAATTGTAAAGAGATGAACATGAGAGCACTGGATGATCTCCACTCCCATGTACTTTCAAAGTCGGTGATGAAAAATCTCTTTTGTCTTATAAATCCACGTGCACGTGCTTCAGTCCGTTCACATGGTTGTTGATATACCATCAAGTTAAGATTGGGAAGACAAAATATGACGAGACATTATGAAGGATTGGGTCTGAAAGAATAGCACATATGTGCCCAATTAAAATAATAAAAATGCACCTTAAGAACCCTTACTTTTTTTAATCAAATGGTGTGCTGATGGATTAGCTGTAGGGATGCTGGACTGAAGTTCTCTTCTCTAGGCTAACATGGTTCTGAACATGCATTGTACAATTTCCCTGAAACTGACGAGGCTGAGAATAGTATTTCATTCGTCTGTCAAAATTTCGCTGAAGAGAAAGACATCAAAATTTTCTTATTATGTGAAGGAAAGTAATTAATTTAATCGGCATACGAATAAGAAAAATTAAGATAGCATACTTTCAGAAGAAGAAAAATAAACTATTTTTTTTATCTACTATATAACATTTCGTTTCAATTATATACTACTTTCATTTCGTTCTATATTGCATACCTCGCCACCAACTTATAAATTAATATCAAACAGATAATTAGTAGGGTAAAAATACATCGCAACATTCAACATTCCGTGTTTATATCGTGTACTTCTTCCATAATAAATTGTAGTCAACATTTCGTACATTGCCAGAAAACAAAATTCTTAAAACTACACATCTTGTCTGACTAACCTTGGACACATCTCATTGGCATTCTGATTTATGTTGATGACATATGTGCAGGTTATTTCTCACCATAACGTCTTTTATGGACCCCAGACCCCTTGATGTTGGCTAATGTGAACTTCATCCGGCCATGTCTGACGTTTAGTTCAAAACGTTTCCCACAAGGTCCTTTTCCATTGATTTTCGATAACGAAAACGTCAACCGGTTAATTCTGGAATTATTGAGAATCCCAGCTTATCCACATCGCACTGCGTAGGCAAAGTACGTAGTCGTCATTTACTTATATTTCACTGGGTGTATATAGGGCATTGCGCAGGTTAATTAATCAAAATTATCTATTAAACAGCCTCGCCCATTGTGCCTGCTCAGTACACTTTACACGGGGAATGTGCAATGTAGAATGCATAACGATTTTTGTACTTTCTAGTATACATACGTATATACTACCGAGAAATATACGTCATATAGAGAAATTATGTTATGCAGCAGGGGGGAAAATGAAAAAGAAAAATTAGTGCAACAATATGGCATAGACTTTCCAGTATTAGTTTTCTATTTCCTTCGGTCTTCGGACTTGCCAACCGTATTTATTGCCACCCAAAGTACATTTTTTATTTTTTCGATTATCTAATATTATCATGAAAATATTAAAGAACAGAAAAACCACGTCCTAAATGGCAATTTTCTTTGAAAATTTTTGAACTGCTTTTAAGAAAATGGCGTTTAAGCGTAACTACGAATTCGAAATTTGAAGCTTTTTTTTATAGAAAATTTTTCAGTTTTCAAAAAACTTTATAAGAAGTCATTTGAAGCACTCTAATACAATAATGTTTACAATTGCTAGAAATATGCATATTAACGGAGTGAGAGATCTTTTGAAAAAAAAAAGTGTAATTTTTGAGAAAAAAAAATATCCTGAAACGAACGTTACTAAAGAGTTACGTTATTAAAGAGTGCAATTAGCACTATCCGTTGGAAAGGTTTGAAGAAAAAATTTGCAGCAGTTTTTTTAGAAAATGATGTTTGAGCGTTTTTTGAAAATGCGGAATTTCGAGCTAATTTTCGCAGAAAAGGGCAGAGTTTTCGAAAAACATTATATGACATTATTTAAATCACATGTACCCATAAATATAATAACAATCTTCGCTAATGTAAATATCAACAACTTGAGAGAAGTCAAAAAAATAAATATTTGTAATGTTGGAAAAAACAAAAAATAGCGAAAACTGATGTTTTATGTCATGTCATAAACTACATTTAGCACGATCCCTACCAAAAAGTTTAAAGAAAAAAATGGGAGCCATTTTTGAGAAAATCTTGTTTTTGAGCACACTATTGCACGAAAACTACTATTTTTTAATAAAAAGTTCATGACTTTATTAAAAGAGCTGATTACGAACAAATTTAATTCGAGGGGAAAATCTGTATCTTTAATTTTGTAGTTGTAGGAACGTCGGAAATAATTGAAATTTTTTAATTTTTCGAAAATTCAGAGTTAACTCTGAAAATAGGACATATGCTATCTTTATAAGTGTTTTTTACTCTGTTTTTACAATAAATTTAAAGAAAAAATTGAAGCCAGTTTTGAAACCTTTTGAAAATGTCCCATGAGCTTCATGTAAAGTACCCTCAAATTTTAATGAATGTTTTTCAAATTCTCAGAGCTTCGACTCGTGCCAGATGGACAGGGGTTTCTTCAATTTGGAAAACATTCTTTGCATGGATTAGGCGCTAATAGTGTTCACATACACACAGTCGTGTAGAAAACACAAACAAAAACACTTTTTCGGTATTAAGGATCCAAAACGTGTATTTCTCGGGAAAGTAAAAACTACAATTTTTCGCTAGGAAAACTCGTATTGTGGGGCCCTGTTACAGAAAGATAGACCCTGTTCTAAAATATAGTAAATTACTCCTAACACGTTATGAAGTAAGATTTCATAAAATAAGGGTCCTTGATTCCAGAAGAGTTCTTTTTTTCTTTTTCAAAACGTCCGTCTAATGTTTGCGAAGAACACTTAGCGTTTAAACTATACGTAGGATTTTTTCCGAAATGATTAACCCTCGTCAATTCGGATATATCTCTTACATCTATAATAGAGGTGAAAGGAAACGGTGTGAAAATTATAGAGGCATAACTGTCCTTACAGCATTGGCAGATGTGTAGGGAAACGATATTTATATGATATATATATTTTATATAGTATAATATATATATTTAATATATATATATATATATATATAATTTAAAAAAAAAAAAAGAAAGAGACCTCATTGATGTCAAGGAATAGAGCGGCTTTCGAGCGGAGAGCTCGTGTATTGATAACGTGCTTAGTACTCGTATTAGACAAGTAACCAACACGCGTCTCGGCCATACCTTGGAGACGCATCTTGTTTATAGATCTGCGTAAGCCCAATTCCATTGTCTAGCCCCCTGTTCCATTATCTAGGTAGTGGATGGCGATGGAGAAACAAAATGTAAATACGCAATTGATTAGAGCCAAGTACAGTGATAATACAGGCCAAATAAAAGTAGAGAGGGGGTGCTGTGTATCCCCGGGTTTGTTTAAAATATTTGAACGAAGCCTTGAAAAGATGGAGAAAGAAATGTAGTAATATGGATAGTAAAATGGTGACTATGTTATTTTCTCTACTCTTCAGGCGGTGTTCGCTGAAGATGAAGACGATGCTCTATACATGCTGCGGAAATTATATGAAGAGAACTCGGAATGGGGTTTAGAAATAGACCTTAACAAGACGGAGTATATAGTTGTAGGAGGAAGTGCCAACGGTCTGAAACTGGATGATAGCTCTGAAGTAAAACCCTGTCAAAAATTTATATACTTCGGTACAGAAATAACTTTGGAATATTTTTAAATCTTTCAAAAGCCTTTCACGTCATTGATCATAACATGTTACTCTCAAAATTACGGATTGGAACATTATGTATGTACCTTCTGATTCTTTGCAAATTGCATGTGGAGTCCCGCAGGGATCGATTTTAGGTCCTATTATCTTCCTACTGTACGTAAACGATATGCCCTCGACGATTAGAAACGGAAGAACAGTTCTCTGTGGATGATACGAAAATTCTTTGCAATGAAGAAACCGTAAATAGTACAATAGCATATATTTCAAATTGGTTCCGCAATAACAAATTAATAGTAAATGACAATAAAACGGTTTCAATGCAGTTTTCCATTTCAAATAAACAGCTTTGCACTTCACTGAAAATGAACGGAGTGCCATTGACTGATGATAAGGTAAGAACATTTTCAGGTCTTTCAATTCAGTCAAACCTTAAATGGAACGCCCATTTAAATGAATTGAACACTAAATTAAGTTCTTTATGCTACGCTTTCAGAATTATTTCAAATTCAGTCAGCCTACACTCAAAAACTCAAGTTTTAACTACTGCCTGGGTCACAGTGTCACAGATAATTCTTATACTGTGGCCTGGGTACATACAACATACCTAAAGAAAAGTTTTTATGATCCTTTTCCAGGTAAAAAGGAAATGCTGACTGGACTATCATTATAAATTCTCCTCTTCAGATATACAATTGTTATCATATTTTGTTTCAGAACTCTCCTTTCAGGACCAACAATTGTGAAAGAAGATTTGGTTCCTCAAAACCTACACGTAACAAGAGAACAAGGAATAGATAATTATATTTTATACAATAAAAGAACATTCCTCAGCTGTAAAATATAAAATTATGGGGAAAACAGAATAAATTAAATTGGTAAAAATCAGAAAAGTAAACACTACATTATTTCAAAGGAAGGAGTACAATAAACTAGCATTATCAAGTTGAAAAGCTCAGTAAAATTGTCATCCATTATAAAAAATAGAAATTTTTTTAGTGAAACTGATATTAAGTCTTGATGGTGCTCTTATTAGTTTGCCACCGGCTCCATAATTATTAAATAGCAGAAAAAGGTTCCATGCAATCTAAATCAGTCACCAAACTTTGAATTTAGTTACAAAATTGGACACATTGTTCACCAGTTTTAACACAATATATTTGTTATTTGGATGTGCCTGGTTTGAAAGCTGTCTTGTCCTAAGATATATTTTAAAGCTACAAAAATTATTTTGTTTTCTTAGAGTTTGTTTGCAAATAATTTGAAATTCTTCATTATGGTTCAAAAAAAAATAGAAGAATCAAAAATATCCATTGTGACAAACATTCTGTTTATTTCCACATTTAACTTCAATGTACAAAATGGTGTCATGAAAGTTTAATACATTTCAGCAATGTAAGGTGCAATTATAGTTCCTAGAAAATAAAAATTGAAGTGCACAGCACAATTTACAAGAAGAATATTGTTTATCCTACAAAAACAATTACCCATTATATTTATATAAAAATAAATTGTATTCCAGTTGGTGTATAGTACAGCTCAAAAAGTACAATACTGCCCCATGTTACTTGCAAACAGTCTTAAAACATTTCTCACAACTATCACTTCTTGTTCACCTTTCTGGTTCTCTTTTTTTCTTTAACACTGTGTTCGCTTGATTCAGAACTGTCACTATTTCCTGAAGAATCTGTACTGGAAGAGGTTTTTCTTTTCTTTGATTTTGTTTTACTCTTCATTCGTTTACTAGCATCATCACCATTTCTACTATGGTTTGAAACTTTTCTTTTTGTTCCTTTCTCCTTGACTTTTCTGGTTTCATTACTTGATGAGTCAGTTGATTTTCTGATCTCTCTTTTTGACTTCTTTGTAGGAACTGTTGACTTCTTAACTTTCTTTGCGACAACACTAACTTTTGTCGCTTTCTTCCTTAGTTTGTGTTTGCGGTTACCTCTACTGCTATCGCTACTGCTACTACTACTGTAACTACTGCTACTGCTACTACTGCCACTTGAGTCACTTGAATTATCAGAGTCACTACTACTGCTCGATGAACTTTCACTACTGCTAGTTTCACTATCTGATTCACTGCTTGAACTACTTTCTGAGGTTTCTGAGCTACTTGAAGTTTCTTGCCTCCTTGATCGTTGCTTCCTCTTCTTCTTTCTACCCTTTCTCTGCACTAACTTCCTGTTCTTTGATTTACTATTTTTTTCAAGATTCTTGCTTTTGCTGCTTTTACTTTTAAACATTTTGCTTTTCTTTGCTGTCACTTTCTCATCTTCAGAATCATAATCATTTCTTTTCGAACTTTTGTGCTTTTCAACTTTGCGACTATGTCTTTCATTTTCTGTATCAGAGTCGCTGACCTTATCTTTACGTTTACTTTCCTTCAGATCTTTACAGTTTGATGGCTTTTTGGTAACTAAATCTGCACTACTACCTCTATGTTTCCTTTTTTCTTCTTTTTGTCTTGACCCTCTATCATCATCTGATTCAGAATAATGACTACTATTTTTCCTTTTTGTGCACTTTTCCCTGTTAGTAGTTCCAAGCTCAGATCCACAATACTCATCTCTACTTTTCTTTCTGGCAAGATTTTCTTCTTTATAACTTGAAGTATTTTCATCAGTTGAAACAGTATTATTTCCTTTCTGTTTGCCTTTCTGAACCTTGTCTGTTTTGTAAGAGGTTAACTTTTCAGCATCAGTACTATCACTCCTATTTTTCTTCCATTCACTTTTCTCTCTTTTATGACTTGTCACTTTATCATCTGAATCTGAACTAGGGCTTCTATACATTCTTCTTTCATCTCTTCTTGAGCTTCTATGCTTTGATCTTTCACTTTCCGAATCAATACTACCTCTCTTGTGTCTTCGACGTTCATACTTGTCTTTGCAACTCTGATCATCTGAATCACTGCCACTCCTGTAGCATTTTCTCTTATTTTCTTCTCCCCTCCTTCTCCTTTCCTCTTCTCTATTCTGAGAAACTTCCCTCATTTCACTAGAATGCTGATGCCTCTCACTGTATTCTCGTTTACTTCGTACATTGTTATCTCTTTGAGAGACATATTTTGACCTTTCCTGATTATCATTATATTCATTGTAGTGCCTGCGTCTGGAATTGCTATTGTCATATTCGTAAGATCGCTGATATCTCTCATCTGAGTAGTCACGTCTTCGTTTTATCTCTCTGCCGTCAAAATTTTGAGATCCACTTTCTCGTAAATTTTGATTTCTAGATCGCTTTTCATCGTTCTCTCTTCGGGAGTGATAGTTTTTTTGATGTGAATGGATATCATCAGCATATCGCTGCCTTGAATTCTCAGAGCCTCTAACATTTTCAGATGTTCTCCTATCATAATTACCATAATCAGGCCTTGGTTTACCATCATCTATGTGTTCCACACCACGACCTTTGCCTTTCCATCGCAATTTAGAGACACTCTGACTGAAGTCAACATGAATTCGACGATCATCAATTAGCACATTGTCCATTTTGAAGTAAGCATCCTCACATGATTTACGATTATCAAATTCCACAAATGCATACTGTAAAGAGTCACCAGTAGTTTTGTCTCTTATCACTTCACAACTAACAATCTTGCCAAAACGACTGAAAATGATTTCTAAATCATCATCAGTGGTGACAGGATTTAATTTGCAAACAAACAATACATTTTCAGGTGGAGCAATATTTGCATCAGGTAGATCCCCTACGATTTCTAAAATTGTAGCCTGGGCCTGAGCTTCTCTAGATTTAGTAAGTTCTTCCACCTCTTCAATAGTAAGTCCAGCAGTTTCATCAATTTCTTCATCTGGAGCAATGCGACTATTAGCCAGTGCCTCCTTGGTCAATTCTGGAGAATGGTCAGGAACTCGCAAACCAGATGGATCATCGAAAGGGTCTTCCAAAATAACTGTATGGGTGATTCGTATATCCTGGTAAGGACGGTGTTCATGATCACATATTACTTCATTAAATTTTCTAAGAACTTCGTGTCCTTCTGCAACTTCACCAAATACACAATGTTCACTGTCTAATGATTGCAAATCTTTGCCAAGAGTTATAAAAAATTGAGAACCTAACATGTGGTTGCCACAATTTACCATTGATACAGTACCAATATTACAGTGTTTAAGTTTAGGAAGCTTCTCTGCTTCATAATACTTAGTGTCATTGCCTTGAGTATGGCAAAATATTGACGATCCTTCATGACCAGAGCCTGAAGGATCTCCACTCTGTGCAATAAAATTCTGCTGAACAGAATGAAACAAACAAAAATTGTAATATTTAATTTTACATAATTTCAGAAAGTTCATGCAAGTGGTAGGCCTTTCTTCGACAAACAAGTCAATTGTAATGTCTCCCAGGGTGGTTTCAATTACCACAGCCATGGTTCATAAATTTGATAATTTCAAAATAATTTTAATTTTCGTCACTCGCCACGCGATTTAGCTGCAACTGATGTCATCCATGGGAGCACATACTGATTGTCGTTTCCTCACCGGTTCTCGATCTGTTTGTAAACATATTGAATAATATCTTAATTAGACGACCTACTTAAAAATAAATACAAAATAGTTGTGGTCTACTTAACCACTAAATTTTCTTACCGGTTAATAAGGCCTAGATATTTCCGATTATTGAAATAACGAAGCAATAAAAAATAGTACTTAAGAGAAGGTTCAGTGATTTTTATCTGTAATTACTCCATTGTACAACTCGTTCAAAACGTACACGTTTCACTTTCGCCACCTCTTATATCCAGCTTACAACAGATGTATTTGCTCTACTTGTATCCAATCGTTCATCCGATCTACGTTTATCGGTCAGTGGTCGTGGTCGCCTGTAAATTCGGCAGGGTTACCAACCGTAACACGTAAATATCTGTCAGAGAAAGTTGTCTGCCATATTCGCCCAACCACAACTAAATAGGTTAGGTTGTACTATTTTTCAAACGAATTTTTTAATTTTCATTTTAGAATTGTTGACTGCTTGTGATGAATGCAAACTACAGTTACCTATTCGTTGTAAGTATTTTTTGAAAATGCCATGTACTTCAATTTACATGATTATTAATAATTTTTTTATACCTCCTGTCAAGATGACTGGAAAGTCTTAAGTAATTCACTGATAATTTTGTGTTCGAATTGAACACATAATGGATCGATTTGAATACGCTGACGCAAGGTTAATAGTCGGAGAGAAGTATATTACTAGAGAAAAAGCAGTGAAGTTATATGATGGTGATACCAAGGTATACACATTATACAATATATTATATACATTTGTACAATTTAATGTGTACTCTATATAATTAATTTGCATTAAAATTTGTCAGACTCTCTTCTCTAATGGAGAGTTAGTATTAACAACTCATCGGATCCTGTGGGGACACCCTGGTGATATACCTAAGGGTCATACATGTTTGTCTCTGCCTTTACGTTATGTGGTATTTGCAGAAGAGGAGTCCCCAAGCTCATTTTCTTTTAGCCAATCTAAAAAAATAATAATTCACTTGTCTGAAGCATTACCAGGTATTAATTTTGTTATGATATTATGTATCTTTTAAGTAGGTTTATGTATTTCTTTTAATACAATGATTCTTTATTATCATTGTGATAGGCAAAATTCCGGGGCCAGTAAGTTCCAGTGTAAACAATTATATTAAAATGGGTTTTAAAGAAGGTATGCAGAGCAATTTCTTAAATGGTTTGAATGAATGTACCCAGAAAAAAGCATGGGAACTGCAAAACTGTAGTTCTGCTTCTCCATCTCAGGTGATAAATTGAAAATGTTATTGCATTCTGTTATATACTTTTTCTTGAATTTTCTTAAAATTGTACTGTATATGTAAATACAATCTTACAAATGGTTACAGGCTTCAAACATTAAGCTACGTGCAGGAATTGTAGGAATAGAGCGAAGCATACAGGAGAAACAAAAAGCGACAGATGAGAGTATTAGTATTGCATTCCAAGATCTGAGCAAGTTAATGGTGATGGCTAAAGATATGGTTTCTCTATCTAAAACAATATCTCAAAAAATTAGAGTAAGTTATTGACAGAATATTCATTGCCTATGATTTTTTTATGGAAATGATATGAATTAAATTAATGATATATATATATGTCTGTGCAGGAAAAACAGGGAGATATTACTGAAGATGAAACAATAAGATTTAAATCTTATCTCCTTAGCCTTGGTATTGATGATCCTGTAACTCGAAATGACTTTCGAAGTGAAAATCAGTACTATGAAAGTCTGGCAAGACAATTAGCTAGCATGTTGGAAGGTCCAATCAGGGTAATCCAAATTTGTATTTCTTCACCCTTATATGATAATCATTATTGTATTGAAAGTTTCAAAAAGAAAAATCCTTCCTAAATTTGTTTTTTTTTGGTTAATTTTTTTAAATTTTTTAATGATAATTACATTGCTCTTTAGGATGACTATTTTAAGAAGCAATTCCATTCAGTATTACTAAACATTCTTATTTGTATATAATACTAGCAGAACCCACCACGTTCCTACGTTCTCCTGCTTTCTCTCTTTTCCCTTTTTCCTCTCTCTTTCTTCTATATATTTCCCCTCTCTATTTTTCCTCCCTTTCTCTCATTTTAACTCTTTTCTCTCTCTCTCCTGTTGCCTGTCTCTGCTCTGTAGCAGATGTCCTGCTCTTTCGTTACCCTCTCCTCCCTTTCCCCTCTTGTTGCTGTCCTCTTCTCTTTTTCCTTTCTTCTCCATCCTGTACTGCTCATTTGTACTGACCTCCTTGACCTTGCCCTGGGCCACAAGTAACATCCAGGTGGATTGAAAATTCCACCATAGTGGAGTTACAACAAAATGAAGGATAGTGTGAAGAGTTATGCTCACCGAAACACAAGAGAGAGTGTTTTGATGAGCATAACTTACTCCTTTTTTTAAAATTATTATTGTCTCTTATATCAAGAAGAAGAATAGTTTGTTGTTGGTTTCCCCCTCTCTTCAAATCTAGCTTTCTTCTTCATGAAATAGTGTACATATGACCTGCAAAACAAGAGAGAAGTTAGTTTCCTTTGAAATGTAGTTAAAATTATTTATATCTCCCTTTCCTAATCCTTTAAGCAAAATTTAAGGAGCACTTTTTCTGATTTTCAGAAATATCGAAAAAACATTGAGGAAATTCTTGGAAGTGAATTAAACATTTCTGAATACCCAGAAAAAACTTTTTGCAAAATATATTTTGATTAATTTTGCATCAATAGCAGAATTAGATTCAGAGTAATTGAATGTCAAAATCAATAGTGAAAGTTTGCCAGGAGTATGCCTCTGTTTACAACTGTGAACAGCAACAATGATTGTAGAAAACATTGAAGGGTGGGCCAAGTGAGGCAGAAGGGAAGGAGGTAGATTTGGATGAATGAGACAATACACAGGTCGGGTTGGGTTGGCTCTGGTCGGGTAGGGTTGGGTCGGTATGTGAAGTATTGAAGGGGAAAAATTGAATTTGTGTTATTTTACATGTATCATTCAATATCATTGCAGACTCCTTTTTGAATAGTTTTATTGTGATCTAACAAGATGTGGAGTACTATCTGATTTTGAATGTCAAATAATACTGTAGCATGTGTCTTGCAGGAAGTGGGAGGCATGATGTCATTGGCAGATGCATATTGTCGTGTTAATCGAGCTCGTGGTTTAGAGCTTTTATCACCAGAAGATCTACTGCGGGCATGCCAGTTGCTAGAACGCTTGAATTTACCTGTGCGATTGCGACGATTTGATAGTGGAGCTCTTGTTTTGCAACTACCAGCACATTCCGATATGCAAGTTGTTCAGTTGACAGCTCAACAGGTGATTTTTGTACATTTTATAATCATTCACCATCTCTTTTAAAAACAGTCTTTAGTTGGTAGATATAAAACCTTAATAACAATAATATTTATGAAAACATGATAAAATGTAATTTTGTTGTGTTAGTACATGAGAGTCATTTTAATTGTCATAACAGGCATAATAAAAATCCAAGTGAGCATGTAGCCAATCAGTATGATTTAGGGATTTCAAAAATTATTTTTTAATTACATTTTTAGTTTCATATGAAGAAAATAGCAAACATAATAATTAATTTACATTTTCCGAGGTTAAAAAAATTGTTATGGTTTTCTATTGAAATTTCAATATTGTTCTGTCACAGATGGTTCTGAAAATTTTATTTGTTTTGTATTACACTTCCATCTTCATTTGGAATCTTCTTTCTATGTTTTATTCTAAATAGTAGTTATTATATCCTCTTGCAGCTCGAAGAACATGAATCACTTACTCCTGGTGAATTAGCTCAGAAGATGGGTTTATCATTGCTGCTTGCAACAGAACGCTTGCTTACTACCGAAAAATTTGGACTGGCATGTCGTGATGAGAGCATAGAAGGACTACGTTTTTATCCTAATCGCTTTTTGCAAGAGACATAGAGAGTTTTTTTTTAAGCTGACTGATGAATTATATTTATTTGTTGCTCTCATTAATTAATTAACATCATGGATTGAGATTAGAAATAATATCTCTGGTGCTGTATGTCATATCTACAACATGTTTTGATGGTATTTAAGGCACACAATATTTATTAAAATAGTTTTCACATTTAATGTTCCAGAAAATACTACATTATCTTAAAGGAAATATTTTTTGTAGTTATTATTTAAGACTTTATAAGAACAAGTGTATTTGCAAAAGTTGTGTATTTAGACATTGTGAAATTCTGTATGTATGTACATGTACCAATGCAAATTTTTGAACTGTATAGAATCTAAAATAAATTTTCAATTTGGTTATATTTATAAATTTTCCACTTTCCAACATAGGACATTAGGTGGAAATAGAAACTGTTGGTCTGTTTCACTACTAAAATCTGAATCAATTTTGTCATTATTGTTGCTAACACATTAGCTTTACCTTCTGCATTAAATAAAATATTACTTCTCAGTGGTAGTTACGAATACCACTTTGTCTTTTGTTGTAATTATTTGCAAACAATAAAAACTTTGTCTTTTGTTGTAAAAAAAATTGATTTAGCTGTCAAAACATTTATTTTAAATCTTATCAGCAAATATTATTTTGCTCCAAAGGTCACATAGCATCCAGACTACGTAAAGATTGTGAATATATTGGTAATTGTTGATTTTTTTAATATTATAGTTATTTGGTGAAACTATTTGTGTTTGCTAAATGGAAATGTGTAATCCACAGATTATAAGTTTAAAAAGAATTTACAACATTTATTTCCCAATTTTCAAAATCATTGAATGTAATGGTATTGTGGCAATTATGGTCCCGCAATCAAGGTATGTTCCTAAGAATTTGCAATTATCTTCCCAAATAGGCAACACAAACACACACCTTTAAAAGAAGGTGGAGGAGAAAATTTTGACAGATATAATTTTTAAATAGTAGTCTACCTCAACCCCTTTGGATTATGGATTTCAAGAAAATTAGAATAATTTAATATGCATGAAAATATATTTCCATTTCAATGTAATTAATGAGAAGAGCAATTTTCTAGTAATAAAACAGTTTTCAAAAACTTTGTTACTATGTACTATGTAATCTCAAACATCAATGAAATTGTTTCATTTTTTTACAATTGCTTTCCAATTGTCATATTTTAGATACAAGGTTGCTTATTTATTCATTAAAGAATGTTCATATGCTAACAAGGAGGCTCATGAGGATATAAACCCTCCCCCTCTCAAAGATGAATTTACTAGTACAGTTTTTACTAATTGTGTCTTTATTATTATTCCTCATTTCTTTAAGAATTTTCCAGGCTTTATTAGCTTGTGTGTTTCCGATACAATTATTAATTTTTTTGGCAGTTATTTTGCCACATCATTTTTTGTTTAGTTTACTAACTTTTGAGTGTCTTTTCTTTTCTTACAGAATTCATTTCTGTCCCCTTCGTTACAAGCCATTTTATGTATAAAGTCTTCTTTTCTTCAACTAATTTTTGTATACTTTCATTCTACCATAGTTCTGTTTTCCTTTGTGTACTAGTCTTGGGCATATCCCCAATTGCTTCACTAGCCGCTTCATGGATACGTTTTTTATACCTATGTAGAATTTATTTGCTGGACTTTCTTGTATTTTACTGATTTTATTCGCTTGTCTAAGTTTGTGTAAAAAAATTATGGCGTCATCTTGAAGCTTCCTTACATTCTCTATAGTGTATTGATTTTTATTTCCATTTTCAGTATCTCCTGTAGTCAATCCAATGTATTTTATAAAAGGGAAAAATATTTTTGAGATCAATAGATGATAATTGATCTGCATTCTGGTCCTCTCGTCACTCTTACATTTTGAACTTTTATCAGAGCTTTGTGTCTTACTATTACATAATGAGTCACTTATTTTAACTATTGTGTTGGTTGTTTCCACATATTCCTGTGTATATCTTTGTGAGTGTACCAGCCATTTGTTATTTTTAAAGAATTTTGTTGACACATGTCTATAATTCTTTCACCATTTTCATTTATTTTTTCCAAATCTTCCAACTATTGGATCATTTACTGCTTTTCCTGTTCTTGCATTTAGGTCTCCCAGTAAAATAATTTCTTTGCACTTACTGATTTTTTCCAGTAAGTTTGTCAATTCTTTATAAAATGTATTTTTCTTGTCAACAGGTATGTCATCATTAGGAGAGAAAACTGCCATTATTACAACTGTGTGATTTTTAATATTCATTTGTACCTGGATTATGCGATAACTGAGACATTCCCAAGATTATATAAATTTCCTATATTTTTTCTATATTGCTATGGACACATTGCCTTGCCCTTTTGTTCTTGTTTACTCCACTGTAAATATGTACATATTTTCCTTTTTCTTCGGATCCCTTTCCTTTTCTTTTGGTAAAGGCTATTATATCCAAATCATACATATTTATATCGTTGAATACCTCATCTTGTTTTGTGGCTATCCCTTGGATATTTCAATATCTCTATTGAATACATTATAAATAACTATAAATAAATAATCAACAATAAACTTTAAATTCAGCCTAAATGAAAAATTCTCTATAAGAAAACATCATGTCAGTTGGACAACTAGACTTTAGAAAAATTCTGGCTGCTCCATTGAATTTTCTAAGGTAAAATAAGATAAATGATGTTATGAGGATGTGTTTCATGTACATTTCATTTTTTAAGAAAGGTATTTTCAAATCAGAATGACCTGCACTTAAGATTAAATAAAATTTTATTATAGTTTATATTTGGTACTTTGTAAGAAACATTTTTCAAGGGAGTTTTTATCAATTTTATGTTCTCTGTCAGCAGTGCCGGAGCTAGGCATGGGCAGACTGGGCGATCGCCCTGGGCCCGGGAAAATCAAGGGTGGCATTGATGGTGAAAAATGAAGTAAAAAATGAAAAAGAAATTAGAAAATGAGAAAATCAATATTGTAATTTTATAAGTCACAGTACTGTAGTTTGATATTTCATAACATTTTTAATTAATGTTTCACCTTCAGTAGTTAATTATAGTCATAACTTATCCGGTAGGACTCTATGAAATGAATCAAATAACACTAACATTAAAATACTGAATTAATTCTAGTGAAATTAATAGATATTATTTCATGTATGTAACAAAAGGTTTTGTTAAACACTAACTAAACACAATACAATTTTTTAGCGTTTTAAGTTATATGGAAATTATATTATTTGATCACTAAATACTTACTTAAAACTATTATTTATTTTAAATAATAGTTTTAAGTATGTATTTAGTATTTTTTTTAAGTTAGTTTAATTTTTTTATGCCCTTTAGAGGGATGGGGGAAGGTGGTGGCTACGTTTTAGCATTTTTGATTTGATGATAAAGATTGTGCAGGACATCAAAGCCTCATTTCACTAAGTATGATAATAAAACATTTAAGTGCAGTAATAAAAGGCTTCTTGGCAATGTTAAATGACATGACTGGCACCTAAGTAATCATCGAAAGTATAGAGAGTTTAAGGTTATACGTATTGTGCATAAAAGGGAGTGATATGAGAGCATATTGTACAACTAGGTACATACGTAGAGCCAGTGGAGGGAGGTATAAAAATAAACACAAACAATTTTATATCAAAGTAGAAAATATTTGTCATGGAATAAATTGAATAAAATTGCAATACAGACATCCAATATAACTTTTCTCTTAGATTCACCAAAAGGACATAAAACCAAAATTCACATTAAAATAGGTATTGAAATAATTTTGACTATTAAGCTAATTATTTTCATTTAAATTGGTTTCATGCTAAACAAAGATCAAATCTATCGTATACTTGTTTTTTCTTATTTTTTTGTCCCATACAAAGTAAAGTTTTGAAGGTAAATCATGATTTACAAACGAAAAACTAGGGTAACATTTAGCGAAGTTTGATATGGGGGGGGTGTTGTTGTTTGATGTGTTGTCTCAGTGAGGATGAAAAGAAAAACTCATGCTTAAAGGAGCTCAGAACTTCCTTGAGAACAAACTCAACGAACAATATAAGGAGGGAAATTAAGAAATTGTTCATTACGATGTAGACTTTTATCTTGACTTAAAATTAAAATGTGCCTTGAAGAGGTTGGGCCAATAGTTGGGACTCATTTGTGTATTCTTTAGTGTACTTAGAAGTATTTTTTCATTATGTAATAGTCGTTAAATTATTCCAAGATTCTCCTTTAGAGAAATATAATTGCCTGAATTAAGATATAAGAGGAATTTAAATAGAATTCTATTGCTGAGACAAATTTTCCCATAACCATTGGCATAGACTGAGGAGGTGCATACTCTATGACTTTGACACAAACCAATAAAGGGAAGAGGAGCATAAAATAACAAAAACAAAATAAGAAGGTAATCTCTCATTAAATGGTCATTCATAGCAAACAAATTAACATTTACTTCCTTTCTAATTCTACTTTAATTTGTCTCCAAAGTTACAAAAACACGCAACAAGTTAGTTAACGCCAAAGTTAAAAAAATGCAACAAATTAGTATACCTATTATAAAAATGAAACTGCTATGGCTCATCACTCCTAGTCAGCTCCACTCATTTCAGTCGTATTTGAGAGCAATAGATCATGGTCCAACATATGTAGAATCTAATTAAATTAGTTTGATGGTTAGCTATCAATGTTTGATGATAATCATAAGTCAAGTAATATACGTTTGTAAGTTCCTTCACAGGCAGGGTGGACCCAACCGATCATTTTGGAGATGGCCATCATAGATCTTAGATAAAATTAAATACTTGTTATCATATTATACATTATTTTTGTACTGTATGTATTATAATTACATAATTCTAACATAAATATTTAAATCAATTTTGCCAAATAAAAGAGGGAACAAACGAAAACTCTTGGCCTTGGGGGGAGGAGGGGCATGGCCACCATGACCCCCTCCTGGATCCGCTACTGCTCACACAGCATGCAACCAGGCAGCCACAACTGCCAGGTTGCCTATCAATTTTGGGAGGTTTGCATGCTAGAGAGTATTTTTGTTTGAGTGCTCAGTTACGGACAAAAATATTTATAAAAAGGCTAAATGAGATTTACTTGAAATAGGTCTCAAGTAACTCAATAGTTATTTAGGAGAGACGTTTTTTGGGCTGTTCTATCTAACAAGTACTTAGAATTGGATATATTTAAAAACAAAAACCCTATCCATGCAGTGTGATTTACTTGAAACATGAATCTTAGGAAACAATTATTAGGGAGTGGATTTTTATACCTTAAAAATCTTGAAATATGTATCTATGACTTAAAAATTATTCACTGAAGCAATGGGTAAAAATATGCAGAATCATAGAAATCCGCTCTCTAATAATTATGAATAGTCTGCTAATAAGAGAGGGTGCTCAAGACTCATGTTTTCAGGATATAACTCCCAAACAAATGGTCAGATTTGAATGTAATCAACAAAAAATGTCCAATAAAGTGTTAAATGAGGTCTTATTGATACACAGATTGGAAGCATTTTTCAGGTAAACTTAGAATGAACTTTCAAATGTTGGTGAATGGTTAGGAGAAGTGGGAAGGTGGTGCTAGTATACACCTAAATGAAGTATATAAAATGCAAGTGAAGGTGAAAGAGGTAATAAAGGTTAACAGCAGTAATGACAAATGGTAGAATACATTAGTCCTTCCTACATTGTGTCCTGACTAAACGTTTAATTGTCTAGGAACAGAAAATTTTTGGCATTTTACTTAGTTGTAAAAATCATGCTTGTGCTTAAATTACGTACATGTGATTCTGTATTTTTCAATAATTGAAATTAGTTTTTATGTTTACTTATGAAGTTTTTAAATTTTGTGTAAACAAATATTGTATGTGTAGTAGAATGAGATGATATCAGGCAGAAAGTATGCTGTGAATATGTATTATACATAACATCACAATTGTTACAAATACTTATTTACAAATTGCATTAGCTTATTCTGTACAAAATACTTTGTATTTCCTGGAATTATTGAGCCTATTTGCTTACTTTAATTTACTTGTATATGGTGACAAACAATGTCTAATTTTCGTGTTATTTCTGTTCTGCAAATACTTTTACTCCGAAGTTCAGGAAAGGTGATAATCGTAGTTTTTATACGCAACAGTTGGTTTAGTAATAAAATCTACTGATGAACATACATTATCTGAAAATTATTCAAGCAGACAAGTCTGTCGTCAGTTATGTGACAAAATGACAGAGGGTGAGCTGACTGGACAATGGTGTGAAGATCAAGGAAACGTGCCACTCAGCCTGTAATGTACTATTATATTACTGATTAGTGTAGCGTTGTGAAAGAAGTGGTTGGTCACTTGTCACTCAGGAAAACTTCCAACAGACTTGGGATCCCAAGAGGAAGTGAAAAAGAGGGAAATGGAGTGAAGAACAAATGTTTGAAATATTGTACTATAACAACAGTGGCCTTCACAGGAATAGACAAGAACTCTACTAATGTTTGGCAGTGCTGAATTTGAAAGAAGTAATCTTTTTAATACCCAACTACAGAAACAAGAAGGGGACTAAAATTCTCATCCGACAATTTGTAACATGTCTACGAATAATGGAACAAATATCGTTGATAAAGTTACTTTATTAAACCAAAGTAAAAATGATTGTTTTTCTAACTCTGCCCGATTAAGAAACCATTTCAAAAGATTAAATTGAGAAGTTCCTGCAAAGGAAAAGAACAGCAGGTTTAATTTTTAAGATGATGTTCTGTAACTGGGTATTGAAAATATTACCTGATTAATAAAAAATGCTTTTTTCATCTAGATTATTAATTTCCTTTTTAAAAACATTCTCAGGTGACTAAATCTAATCCATATTCTTAATAATATTGTACAATAAAATAAATATATGGGTTTTCAAAGTCACCCCAGAACATGGGGTGACATCAGGCAGAGTTATTTTCTTTCTTTTCACTGAATATTAAAAGGCATTATTGAATTACATCCCTAGAAATCTGAAGATTACAAAAAAGATCTGAAAATATTTCTAAATTAAAACCGTTAAAAGTACAATATCATTCCATATACAGGATATGTTGAAATTTTATTATATTATGTTATTGAAACTGTAAAATAATTGCACGTTTTGAATTCCTTGTACATTTTCAAAAGATTAAATTTACTTTTGAAATTATGTTGTTTTAAATTTTATCTGGATACTTCTACTACTATGGTCAACAAGTTTATTTCAGGACCCCAAAAATGTCAAAGTTCTTAATTAAGTGTGGTTTGACATATAATTATAAACTTTATAAAATCATAAAGTTGCCAGTAGCTGAACTTCTTAACAAGCTTCACATGGTCATGGAAAATTAACTGCTTTTGTGACTTCATGATACTATTTGTTGTTCAAAGTACATAGTACTTGAAATAAGATCATGTACAAAAGTCATGTACTAAATTACTTCCTTTATCACGGGACTAGTAGACAGAATTCACATTTTGTGCACCCTTAAAAAACCTAAAAATCGATTGACGGCAAAATGTCTGTTAGTTCATTTGTGATTACAAATGAACTGGAGGCCCTACGAGTTTGAAAAACATATTTTGGTTTTTGTGTGTACTCTGAATTTTTAAAAATAACAAAAGTTAAATATTTATTTGGTGTTTTTCTACAATTACAATATTGAAGTTGAGATTTTTTCCTGAATGAAATCTTTTGTTCAAAGACAGATCTTAAAATAAGGTCATGAACAATGTTTGAAAAATGATAAAATTTGTAATTTTGCATTAAAAATAAGCACTTTTTAAACAATTATTTTCTCAAAAATGTTTCCAAATAAAAAATGCATTGTATGTAGCAAATGATTGTAAAAAAAATTGGTTCTGTCCCATTTTCTTTAAAAAGGATCATGTCCAATTGTTTGAAATAACAAAAAACAACCTTGTAATAAATGTCGGTTCAGAATGTGAATCATCTAGCGACATGGACACACACTCAGACAGCAGCCAGAAAACTCTTTACGGCATCAGACTGAAATTACTTCTGTCCATATGCAGTTAAAATATTCATAGGGAAGATACTAGATTTGGGGTCAAACAAATCATGCTTCTTTTTCTGCAATAGTTTGGCAAGGTTCCATTTTTAATTTCAGGTGAGTATCTTTTATCTCATGTTGCTTTGTCCATAAACACAGATAGAGGCGCAATCCTGTAAACATCATTCTTAATTTGGTTGAGATAAACTTAGGAAAGATATAATCAGAGAAAATTGGAATTACTGTGAACTCACATGAGTGGCAGAAGACGTTAGAGGTTGTTACTGAATGTTGGAGGTTGAAGGAAGGCAGAAAGATAAAGGTTCTAAATTTTCAGGTTCTATAAACCCAAATTAATTATTTTATTTTAATCAATTTTATTATCTTCAAAAGGAGATTCAAATAAGACAAAGGTGTGACCTCAGCATACATTCACACATCTACAATGACAGAACTGGATGAAGGCCATTTTGATCCTGCATCCTCACACAAAACATGACACATGCAGAAGACATAGCTTCCAATACAATAAACACTTCCACTTGTAAAGCCTAAGGTTAAATGAAAATACAAATTATTGAGCAATACAAGAATAAACAACATGATTACATAATACTGGACTAGTGGCATGCCACAGCCCATTTGGGCGTCACAATCAGCAACCATATGGCTATTACAGCCAAACATCTTCAGTCTTCACCAGCATTAACTTCATGCCACCTGAACCAGAGCCCATCCACCCTCAACACCTTCACTGTGCATTTCTCCTTACTTGTGCAAATGAAAATGAATAGTCAAAAAATACAGCTAGTTATTTCAAAAATACAATAATAAAAATTGTGCCCTTATAGTTCTGCACATAGAAATGTACAAAAATTGGAAATATGTATAAATATTAGTTTTATACCCTAAGAAAATTTTGGCGCATGGCAGCCACATATGCTCGCCTGTCCTTCCTCCTCATCAGGAGCTCAGCCCTGCAGCCTGCCACAGGAATGTGAAGGGAATACTGCAGTATGTACAGAGAGCAAAGCTAAGCATGACTAGATAGGATGCAGGCAGCCCTAAGGCTAGTTATCATAGAGCAGCAAAGGGCTGGCTCAGTGCTAGTGCTTTTCAGTCATCCTGCAACAAAAGCACACACAATCCTCTTGTATTTTGCCTTTGTCACTTCAAGAAGATGAAGAAGAAAACAACAACAACAACAACACAGTATTCAGGAAATAATTTTCTTCCACTACGGAACAAACATGTAAATAGACAATGTTTTTTTTCCTCCTTTCTTTATTCAAAATACACTAGAAGGATTTTCCCCCTGTTTAATCTGATTTTGTTGCAAAAGCAATTTTTTATTCTTTATATTATTACGTACCCACTCACGCTCATCCACTCCTTCCATGTGGTCTTGCTCTAAAGACATATTCACTTCCATTCTACTGGAAACTGCTCGCTGAATCTAAAAGAATTTTAAAAAATCTTGTGATTTTGATATTTAATTAATTAGTAGTACAATACACTGAAACTTTTATTATTTTATTCAATTAGTTATAGTATCAATAGAATTATAAGAAACAATTTTTTCTTGTATAACATTTTGTTACAGAACCACAAATGAAAGAATATTGTAGTTATAAAATACTAACACTGATTTTCATACTGATACAATGCTACTATAGTAATTAGAATGGCCGGGATTTGTCACTAGACTTTTTGAAAAGTTATTTTGCCTGTTTTGGATTTTAACATTTTTTTTTTATGTTAGTATAAGACAAAAAAATATTTGCAATAAATAACAAATTTACATTACTAACTATTGTACTCAATGGCTCTGAAAAAGATTTCAGAATCCAAAAATGAATTTCTCTGCAACAATTACTGTTTGAGATGCCCTGTTATGGGATATTGTATCTCGTGAAAAAAATTCTAAAAGGCGCACCAATATGGTGTAGGAATAGAATTTTTTTATATAGAACTATTTGAGATGGTGTTTTCTAGGCATTTTCATTATGAATACTACGTGATAAAGATTTTTTGGACCCGTTTTTTATATGTGCTACTCACCTGCTCTTGTTTCTCCTTCGCAGAGTCTTTACTCCAGTGCAGAGGCACCCCTGATCCTTTTGGTCCAGCCTCCTTGGGTGCAGTAGGGGTACTACTCTGTCCAGATGTAGTATTCACTTGTACAGAAGACACTGAAATTCCACAAATTTGTATATATTTTTCAAGAAGAATGATGTCAAATATACTGTAATGTTTAAGTTAAGAATGAAACACACTGTCATTAATCTTGGTGAATACGCTGACCAAAGAATCTTTTTTATAATAACAAAAATGAAATGATGCTCCTGCACTCCAGACCACACAATAAAAATTTAATCCAACTCTAACATGTTCAAATTCCATATCAATTTCTACAAACATTTCACTCAATTTTTATGGTTACTTTGCTTTATCTCAGGAGAGGAGAACAGTGGGAGGATAAAAACAATTTAATTTGTGAATGACGTCATTTTAGGAATTTATGACTAGAGGAAAAATTAAGTATGTCAAGGCTCCCTTTACTTCAAAGTTAATGACGTTTAACTTACAACACTCCATGCCATCTGGTTGCAGTGAGATACGTGGAGGCATTCGATTGTTGCCTGCAAACCATTCTTCAGCAGTCATTGTAGGTTTCCAAGTTACTTTTGTAGGGGGAAACAAATCATCTTGAAAGAGATCCGTCTGCAAATGAATTATTAAATCTAATAATATAATAATCTCAAACTTCAGAAATTTGATGGTCCATTACAGAATATCCAATAAATTCTCATTTCTTATTATTCATACCTTTACACGTGGCACTGTAAAAGAAAGTGGCTCAATGCAACTATTGGTCAGGCGAAGGGCTCTTGCAAATTCCACTGCAACCACATCACACACATTCTTTGGGAGGAAACTGAGGCCCTGGTGTAGAGAAGCACATCGATGGTGGCTCAAAGGACACAGATATGGTGCTTCAGCTGTCACCTCAAAGGCATAGATGGTTGAATCACCCTGTAAAAGGATACCACTGAATAGTAATAATATTTTATTAAGATCGAATAATTTGTAGAAAACAAAAACAGAAGATAAAAATACCGGTCTTGGTAGACCAGTAAGAAGTCACTACATCATGTGGCACTGCGTGAGGTTGATGGAAGGTCATCAACAAAACACTGATGTATATAAATATTAATGTTGAAAATTAAAACCTCTACTCTGGGGGTAAATATAACATTCCCCCCTCAACCATCAATATTTTTAAACATCAATGCTTTTTAAAACTGCATTAGTGACCAGTAATGTTCCCAAGAGCAGGGGGAATTTAATTTTAAGTTGGTTGCATTTATTGATATTTGACTTACACAAGTCACAAAATGATCAGGACATTTGGCAAAAATTTTATTATGTAACTGGATAATTAAAAAATTATATGAACTGCTTTTCCCGACAATATATTGATTTTAATTATTTTTCAACCTTGGTCACTTCAGTCCAATGAACGTTCAATTTAAGGATATTAGACAATTATTACAGGTTTTGATTGTTATGGTACTTTTTCATTTAAAAATAAACCACGTAAAAACAATGAACACAAAACATCGACATGTATAAAACATTATGTTCTCACCGCACCGGCCTCCCCCCCCCCCCCCCAACAAAAAAATATCTTGGCAATAAATAACTCACAAGTTACATACTACCTATCTGTTAAAGCTGCAATGGCTCTGATAGGAATAGCATATTGTCAGTTAATATCAAATAAATGAATCTTCTCGCAACAATTAACTCCAAGTAGGTTTGATAGTAGTTATGTCGCTTCTGTTATATGGGACTAAGTTATTTTGTGCATTAATCTATGTGAACTATAATTACTATCCTTATTTACATTGAAGTCCAAGGCCGGACAATCTGTGTGCATGATGGATTCGGGAAAAATAGGAATTGACTAGTAGATTATATTATATATGTTACATTTAATTGAACCGTATTTGAGAATGTTCATCGTTAATCTCGAGTTTTCATTTACTAGGCATTTTATTACATGTATGAGCTCACAGAATATATTCTTGCTAACCGGATGGATTATATGGATGATATTGTAGATCGTAACGTCAAAACTTTTAATATTTAAATAAAGCTATCGGTATTAGAAAAGTTTGGCAACGTATATGCTTTGCACTTCCGGAAGAATATAGATACTCGTAATTAGCTCGATGGAAGTGCATATGCCTGCGCCGCGGTTGATTATATTAAGAAGGAACTCTCAGGAGGCGCATTACTGGGGGCGCTATAGGCGAGGGCAGACTCATATAAGCACGCAAGACCCGTGCCGCAAATTGCTGGAAGTACGATTATTAAGACCGTCTTCAATAATGCGTATTAACCTGTATCCCGTGATTATGTGACACATTATCTCTCCAGGAGAGAGACTGGGAGAAAGGGATCCACACGCGCAGATGAGAAAGTCTTTCGTCTTTGAAAGGTTTAATTTTCGCATAAGCGTAGCGTAAAAAACGTGATTAACGAAACATACGCCGTGGAACATGTAGCTTGAAGTGACGAATACTATTGCTATAGGTGGCTAAAATGCATATGTCCCCGGGTCCGCATGCTAGTAATAATGGTATATAAACTGTTTGCGAAGATTAAGTGTTAGAATACTCACTCAACCGAGCGGAATATTCCACTTTGTTAGCTCTAAAGAAAATTGTAATTATGCGCACTGTCTGAGTAGTTCGCGATATCAATTTGGGGAAATAAATGAAGACAAGTATGCTGTTAAAAATTTGCCTTGTGATTTAATTCGCTGCGTTAAGGTTTGATGTTCATTTGTGACATATAATAGGCTACTTCTATTTCCCAATATTCCACGTTTAAGCATCCGTAAAATATACATAACACAGGAATACACGCATCTAGCATAATGACTTGATTTCTTTTATCACCGTTGAATCTCAAGATGACCTGTAAAAACCTAAACAAATTTAAAGTGACGAGAAATTCGCCCATTTGTATTGTGGAGTGGTTACCCACTAAACCAAATCTTGAGTACAAAAATTAATTTTCCCCACGAGAATACTCTCGTACAGTGAACTCATTCATTGTAGTATACAAATTAGGAAATAAGACTAACTCTACAAATTTCCTCTTCGAGTAACTAACAAGATTTCTTGTCAAGTGGAGAGACAATGTAGTGTTCGAGAGTTACCTATGTAAAAAATGTAACTCGATTCAAAAATTTCGCTTCTACAATCTTGAAAAATTAAGATCAGTTAATATTTTCATTCGAAAAAAACATTGGTTCTATAGTTGACTAGGAAATGTAGACTCGCACAAATCGTCTTAACGTTACATAGCCAATGGGTACGTTTAACTTTGAACCAGAACGAAAACGAACAGTCTCATCCATTGTCGATACGTAATAAATTGCCACTCATCCTCTCTGCGGATTGTTGTGGTTTCTGTCGCTAATTCTAGCTACAACTGCTCCTGATTTGTACATTTACCAACGTAGAAAAGTCATAATTTTTTCTTTGCAGTACTGCTTGTATGTTAATCTTAAGGGGGGTTAGCACACGGTAAGGAACGTGGAGAATAACAGAAATATTAAAGAACCCGAAACAGTTCACATAAAAGATTATCACTGGTTTCACGCTCCTCTTCCAGTGTTTAGCCGAGTCTGACGAGGTCGAAACGTGGGGTTTTTTAACTAGTGCCTGTTGGTACACTGTACTCATTCTTCAAAGAAAATAGATCCTTTAAATAAGGTGTGATATGACTGAAACGCTGCTCCATCTATCTGCCTGTGCATTCATTTTTTGTTTCGGTATCCGATATCTCTGATTGCAGTCAATTCTGTGTAGAGGTTCTCCTGTGCTGTCAGATTATCTGGTAGTCTTTCCTGGTGAGTGCGCTCGAGGACTTGGTTGAAAGGTAAATGACCTTGATGAAGTGCCTTGTCAAGCGACCAGCTCATTACGAGTACATATTCAGCCTAAACAATCTATTCTACATTCTCGCGAATTCTTTAATGACATTCCCTAATAATAAAAATTACATTTAAAAAGCAATAATTTTTTTAAAAATCTCGTCGATAACCTTTTGTATCTTTGCTCCAGTCTTTGTGGATCTGCTCAAGCGTTATACGTAAGCAGAGTTTCAACAGCATGTTTTGTGAGATGGCGAATGTTTAAAAAAATTACGGTTGTTGCTTGTGTCTTTTGAAGCGTGTCGATAACTTAATTTAATATAGTTTTACAAAGTCCGTTTACGTCCCCTTCCAGCTTAGAAGAGTTGAATAAATAACGTATTCAAACGATGTTCAAAGTAGAGCACCACATGCTTGAGCGATATTAGGAGTCCCGAAATCCGCGCGACGTGATTCCTTAGCATATTTCGCGTTATGCACACTAATCGTGATTCCCTTAGTCAGAACGCATACCAGCGGAGTGGGACGAACTCATCCCGATTAACAAGAACCCTAGTAATCGATATCAAGAGTCAGCTCTTTCTCTTATACATGTGGTCCTCACGAAACTAATTTTAACTTCGTATAATGTGACAATTGATCTCGAGAATACCCGATGAAAAGTGGGTAGAGAATGTTAATTTGTCTAGAATAGAAGTATGAATACTTGTGATGTATGCAAGCCGACTGCTACCTGATCGATTTAGTTGGTTCCGTATTTCTCCGATTGAAAACACTCCCCTAGATGGACGATATATATGTCCTGAGCGACGAGAGAGAACCATACGTAGCACTGGTACTAACGGCCACCAGACAGTAGTTAATGGCTAGTTTATAGATGAATAAATAAACGGTGTAATAAATGAAAAATATAGAGAGATGCTGTCCCTCTGGGCATAGGACGAGATTATACTACCTTAGTATGATATGGACGATATAGACGCTCATAAAGCTTCTAGACGAGAGAGGAGTAGATTGTAAGTATAATATGACGCATATACTCAGACTCCAACAAAGAGTTTCGGTACACATTATCATGCAATTCAAAAATTGTTAATGATGCGCTGCTCACTTGAAATTTCGAGAATTATTGAGATGAGTTGAAAGACTAGTGGCGAAGCAGAGGGTGACGTTGATACTCTGTGCAAGGATAGCAGACTCGCAACTAGTTTAAGGAGGTAGATAGCATTATACACAGGAATCCTGTAGAAATGTGTCGACGACTAGACGCTAATCCAGCTTGGGAGGGTGAGTGGAAATTTTAAGTATGACTTTGAGCGAAAAAGATAGAACACACGATAATAAGATTAAGCTTTTATCTACACTCGCAATATTAGTTTTTTTTTAATCCTTAAAAAATCAAAATGCTGGTTTGGTAGTTACTGAATGATTGTTAACGCAATGTATATCGCTATTATACACCGATGCTCAATTAACAAAGAGAGAGATATCTGCGTCCGCCGCTCAGTTCGAACATAATGTAGATATGCTAAATATCGAGCTCGTACAGCGTAGACGAGTCAGGAATATAAAACGCGTTATTTAGGCGTGTAGAACTCTGTCTGTGATGAAATGTGTCGAACATCGCAGTCGCCGTTGGTAATAAAATCAACTTGTGCAGTGTATTTCAGAGTGACCATTTGATTTGGACCACCACGATATTTTTTTGTTGCATGCTCTTAAATGTTATCGCAGATCAATCTACCTAGTTTGGAGATCTCTGGGGAGGTCAAGCGATTGGTCTAGTGTAGAAAATTCACAAACACGCGCATTCTCTATTTTTTCACTTTACAACAAGAAAATTAGTTGATTACAAAACAGATCCGTGGTCGGCCACCCTTGGTTTAGCGTGCCACCTTTCCGCGGCACAACCTCGCATTTGTAAGGCAGTTGGCGATATCACCACCAGATCGCAGTGGCAAAAATCTATATGGTCGCAATGTGGGCTCTATGAGTAAGTCAACTGTTCGTCCCGGCGCAAGAGTGGGTGGACGTTATTCGTTTCCTTGCAGAGATAGTACTGTAAGACCGATGCAGATGGAAA